TATAAACATCAATGTGCAGGTTTTTGTGTGGATATAAACTTTCATCTCCTTTAGGTAAAAACCAAGGATTATGACAGCTAGATCATGTGAGAAGAGTATGGTTCGGGTTATAAGAAACCTCCAAACCACTTTTCCGAAGTGGCTGTACCGCTTTGCCTTCCCACCCGCAATGAGTGGGAGTTCCGTTGCCCATGTCCTCACTAGCATTTGATGTCAGCGGTGTCATGGATTCCGGCCATTCTCATAGGTGTCTAGTCAGATCCTATTGCTATTTGAACTTGCAGTTTCCTGATGACATATTACATGGAGCATCTTTTTATATGCTTGTTTTTCAACCATACATCTTTTTCATCTGAGTTGCCCATTAAAGTCGTTGGCTCATTTTTGAATTGAGGATATCTCCTTTTCCCTCACACTTTCTGGTCAGAGAAAAAAAATTCTGAGTTTTTTTTCTTGTGGGTGTTCTAATGAGAGTCTCCATTTTAAACTTTGCTGATTGCATTTTTATTTTCATTTGACATTTCCTTCTCTTTCTTGTATTTCTTATGAACTACTATTTAGACTGAAACAGAGGCTTGATTACATTAGGTAGTTTGTTTCGGGAAGTAAGGAGGAGGGCTATTTTAAAGGTGGTATTTTAAGTTTCTAGCTTGCATCAAGATGGCCATTTCTTTTTTGGTGATGTTATTGGTCACTGATAACCACTTCTTTAATCAATTATTCATTAATTAACACATTCAATTAGGGTTTTAAATTATGACATTCTAATTATCCTTTTTTATTCGTTTGAATATTTCTATAGAGAGAAATTTGTCTTTTTGTTTAAGAATTCTAATGAACATAATTAATAGGAAAGGCAAGGTAAATGGACAATTATTCCCTTATGTACCAGTTTTAAATGTATTGAAGTGATACCTTAGAAACATCCAAAGTTAACCACATGATGTTTTGTATTGTTAGAAGATGAATTCATGAATGTAAATATTCTGTATATTTCAACTGTTATAGTTACCATTACTGATACTCAAAATTTCCTATACATGACTATTAGCAGTTTATTTAAGTTGCCTGCTGAGTCTTTCTGGCAGAATCTCAACTTCAAGGGCTCATTGCTTCTTGGTAGGACAAAATATTCCAGCCTCATCTTACATCCCCAGACTTGCTAACGATGGCATATGAAGAAGCCACGGTGCCTTTTTTATGCTATGTCAGTGCTAGTTGCACTTATTGGTACTTGGTTGGTCATTGTTTCTAGACCTTTTCAGTGCAGAGAGCTAGGATATATATAACTCAGATGCGAAATGCCTAATTCAAACTGAAATTACAAAGTTCTTCTTAACCTCATTCATCTCATCAATGATGTTTTAAGCCATAAGACTGAATGGGGTCACTAAGAGAGTAAATATAGATAGAGAAAAGAAGATATTCCAAGGGCTGGTCTGTGCGGTAGTCCACCAAAGACTTAGAGCAAATGACCACTGAGGCAGGAGGAAAACTAAGGGAATGTGGTGTTCTGAAAAAGAATGAATCGACTCAATCAAAGAGAAGGACACAATCAGTGGTGTACAATTCTGTCAATAGGACAATTAACATGAGGTCTGGAAATTGATCACTATATTGAATCGTGTAAAAATGTTTGATTCTATTAATGAAAGTGGTTGTGGTGGAGTGGGGAGGCAAAAAAAACTACTAAGCGTTAGTGGGGAAAGAATTGGAGAAGAGGAATCCTATATACAAAGTAGAGACTGAATTTTGGGCCTGAAAACATGGACCACATATCCACAGAAACAGAAAGGAAGATGGAAAAGATGAATACACATTGAGGTGGATAGTTAATGTGGTGATGGAAATATCACATAAAATTGTGATAGTTCTATCCTGATTGTTTCTATTAAATCATTAAATTCCCTAAGCAAAGTCATCGCCTGATAACGAGAGTTGGAAACAAATGTTGGAACTTGAAGAAGTCATTCAGGAGAGAGGGAAATGTTTCGGTTATTAAAAGCTCTTGTGTGTAACAAGGACTGGAAGGGACCAGTAAGGGTAGTGATCATACATTTAAAATAATTCCTGAGGGCATGTCAGTGAGTGGGTCTTTAACTATTTAAAACAATGTGGATGCAAACACAGAGTAGACAGAAAGTTGGATTTTACCCAGGTGTGGCTTACCAAGGTAAAACAACAAATTAATAGATACATAAGAGAAGAATTGAGGCTGAATGAAAGTGAGTGACCAAAATGATTACATGAAACTCAAATCAGGTAAGGAGTGAACTGAAAGTATGAGTGTTACGGGTTGAATTGTGTCCCCCCAAGAAGACATGTAACATTCTAACCCCTGTATCAGTGCATGTGTCCTTATTTGGAAACTGTGTTTGCAGATGTAATCAAGATAAGATGAGGTCATTTGAGTGGCCGTCTCAGGGGTGTCCAGCCCATAGCCCTGGATCACATGTGGCCCAGGATGGTTATGAATGTGGCCCAACACAAGATCATAAATTTACTTAAAACCTTTCTTTTTGCTCATCAGTTTCCATCAGTGTTTGGGTATTTAATATGTGGCCCAAGACAACTTCTTCTGGTGTGGCCCAGAGATGCCAAAAAGTTGGACACCCCTGTGCCTCATTGGTATGACTAGTGTCTTTATAAGAACAGGAGAAGGCACATGGAGAGAAGATGGCCATGTGATGACAGAGGCAGAGATTGAAGTGTTGAATCTATAAGCCAAGGAGTACCAGCAACTGTCAGCAAACTCTAGAAGGTATGAGAGGTAGCGACAAATTCCCCCAACAAATTTCAGAGGGAGCATAGCTCTGCCAAGGCCTTGATTTTGGGCTCCTAGTCCAGAACCATAAGATAAAAAAGCTCTATTGTTTGAAGCCTTGGGGTTTGTGGTACTTTGTCAAGGCTGCCCTAGGAAACTCATTTATTTATGGTTAGTTCATTTATGATTAATTTCACACCATAATGGCAGTTGAGTGGTTGTGACAGAGATTCTGAGGCCTGCAACCTAAAATATGTACTATTTGACCCTTTACAGAAACACTTTGCTGACCCCTGGTCTAGAGTATGAAATAAGATACATCCAAAGCAAGGGTATGTATGAGAAGCTCTGAATATCACGTTACTCAAAACAGTAACATTAACTGCAGACAGTAGAGGTCAGAAGGGTACCATGTTAGAGAGTGAATTTGAGCAAGCTAGGAAGAAACCAAATGACTCGCAGGAAGAGACCAAATGACTCGCGGGGAGAACCACAATTTTGGGGTGAAGAAAAGTAGGCCCTTTGCACCTTTGGCTGGTAAATACTGCCTCTCCTTCATGCATCAGTGGTTGCCTGCTGCACACATTGCAAGTCAAAGATCTATTGAGCTGTTTGCTCACTATGCCTGATGCAAAGGCTGATGTGATTGCTAAACTAAAATATTTGCTCTTTCAGAGTCTGGAGATCCACTGTTGCTTTATTGTAAGGCTTATTACTTTCTTTATTTTCCTCTCATCCTTTTTTTCTTCCATGGTAAATTATGCTTATAGTAATATTTGATTATTGATTTATGATCCAGACCATTATGCGTGCGAACTGAAACTATACATGTAATGCTAACTTCTAGTCATCAATGCTTTGTTATTTCCCATGTACTTTTGAATACATGCATGATATGATTTAATCCTAAAAAATTCCTGTGAATCTCTTTTTTTAAAATAAAAATTATGCTTTACGAAAGGAGAAGTGAAACTCAGAAAAGATGAGTGACCAGGTGTAATATAGGAGGTCGAACCCAAGAATCTGGGCTGCTCATTCAGGTGAGCTGAGAAAACCCTAAGGAGGACAGGATGGAGCAGACACAGCCTGTGTTACTCACATTCCAGGGAGCACCGCCAGCGGCAGATCACTGAAGCGGGAAGGCACCTCCCTGAGCCCAGACTTGTTTTAAGGGGTCCCAGACTAAGGGGGCATGTGTTTTGCACGTGACTCTAAACTACCTTACCTCAGTGTGCAAAAGATCAAGAAGCAGTCACACAGGACAAGAAGTCACTACCAGAAGGAGATAAGGCAGGAGTTACAATCAATTTCCAAAGCAGTGCACATCCCTTCCGTTACGGGGTTTGGAGGAGCCATAGCCAGCATGACCCCACAGCAGGTCAGAGTCACAATCATTTAAGAATGTGGTGGATCCTGGGTAATTCTCGTAGCAAATTCATTTATTAGTAATAAACCAAACGCAAGCTAATGAGCTCAAAATCCTCTAAAATGGTACTCTTGGGAAAATAATTTATTAGAATTGTAGAATTTCTCACTGCAAGGAGTAATCTTGCCTTGGAATTTAGATAGGATATACAATTAAATGCCCAAAATTCAATTTTTCCCTATTTTTAAGACTCAGTAATTTTGGATGTGAGCATGGTTCTTTCTGGAAAAAACTCTGCAGAGTCTTGATCCTGATCTGATATTTATTAGTCCCTCCAGATTCTAGAGTCCCGATGGGAAAAGAAACCATGCAGGGATTTAGCTCAAGGAGCCCTTTTTTAAATTAAAAAAAAAAAAAAAACAGGATCCAGTGATGTCCTCAAGGACCTGCTGGCTTAAAAATGTCTTGGAAGGAGAAGGAGGGATCTTTGTTACAAACTTCCGTCCCTCCTCCTGCTTCTGCTCCCTTACCCTCTGCCCCCTGCAGAGTTGTGTTTTCTGGGAATCAGCAAGATCACAAGTGGTCTTTTCTTTTTTCACTCTCTCCCATAAAGAAAGCTTTATCACGTGTGGCCTTAAACTTGCAGCAAATTGCAAAGAAATGGCTCAAAGACTTCAGCTCTTTCTGTGCCCTGGGAGCTGAGATGCGTGTCAGGGCCTTTGCCAGCGTGGCCTGTTCTCTGCCGACTGCCAGAGAAAAGAGGCCAGGAGCAAAGAGGAAAGAAAAGAGATTGCCCAGGGGTGAGGCCATGCCCTTCATCTTTTCTTCCTCCTGATTTGCTCTTTCTGCACTCATCCAGTCTCTCCCTAACTGGCAAAACTGCTCAGAGCTGCTGGATCATTCACCCCAGTCTGCTCTTCCAGCCTGTGGAGTGTGGTCCAGCCTCTTACTGAGCAGAACTGGCTGTCTTTGACGTCCACCTCCAGGTAAGATTTGGTTTCTGCTTTCCTATTTTGTGACCATCACGTCAGATTCTCACAGGCGAGAGGTTAATGAACCCTTGAGTTTTGCATAGTGTCTTATCCATAACAGTTTTCCACAAGAGTTCTTGAGCCCCGTGTTAGGTTGGTGGAAATAGAAGAGACTGGTTAAAGACATCAGACACACTCCGATCTAGGCTCACATTTTGACTCTGCTACTTATTATTTGGGTAGTTTTTGACAGGTGACTTAACTGCTCTGAGCCAAAAATATGTATCTCACCTGGGTCATAAATAGGACCTATTAAATCTGATCTACACAAACACTTACTTGTATTGGGAGGCCAGCCTACTAAAGGACACACATTCCTTCTCTCCGAGTACCGTGCAGTTATTTCCCCTCCTGAAGGGATCCCGGTGTCCAGAAGACAAAGCTAGTAGAATAGTTTTCTTCACGTGAGAGCACTAAGAGAAGGCAGTGATGGGAGGTGGTGCCTTTCTGACTTGGGGACAGTCTTTGGAGGCTGACTGCTGCATGTTGGGTCCCAGGGCCAGGGCGCAGGGGATCGTGTCTTTGTGTCTCCAACTATGACTGTCTGTATCACCTGAGCTCTTTAATGATGGGGAGCCTGATTTTCAAACTCATGTGAACAAAGAATTCGATTTTTTAAAACTAGAATGAAGAAAAAAAAGCTACTTGGTTTATTTTTCTTTGACCTCCAAAGTGAGTTATACAACCCAGAGTGTTGGATGAAAACTTTGCCATGACTCTTTTTCTGGAGTAAATCTGTTTAAGTGGTGGTAGGAGAACAAAGAAGAATTTGCCAAATGCAAATCCTTCTGAATAACTGTGTGCTTTTGCTCTACTTCTGCGATTGCAATAAAGAGAAAAGGAGAAAGAGCACCTGTAGGCCCCCGAGATCTTTCATTCTGTCACTGAGTTTCTTCCCCCTGTTTTCACAGAAAGATGAAAAACTCAGTGCTCATAAGCTAGCTTCCTTAAAACTTGCTGTACTTAAGTGCAAATTAGCCATCAAGATAAAACTGTATTTTTGATAAAACTCTTGAGTGTCAAAATTTTAAACTGGATATCATTTTGCTCTAGCACAGCATCCACTAGGATGACTAGAGTTCCCTTGTTTGGGCATTGCTCCTGGATTCTAGTTAGACTGATTTTAGGGTCAACACCTCCAAGTACAAGAAGGCAATGTATTTTGGTGTCTCAAACTTTTCATGTTCTTTTCAGCATAATTTTTTCTCTTTAGCATTAGCATTCTGAATGTAACCCTTTTAATATTTTCAAGATACAGGTAGCATAAGTGATAATTTTTTTATTCAACAGTTTATTTGCATTTTCTACTCACTTGCTGTAGTAATATGTCTAATGGGGAGTATTATTTCTAAACTTCTAAAACAGTAGGTAAATTTGAATTATATAGTTGGTTCTTAGAAGAAGATTGCATTTTACACTGTGCATTTAATATTACTTATTTTGTATTTTAAAATCTTTCAGTTTTATATATTTTTTGCTTGGTGATATTTTTATATCTGTATTACTTTAAAATATTTTTATATAAGAAATTGGTGTTTGATAAAGAAGGCTTAGAAAATAACACACAAAACATTTAAAAAATTTATCTGCAATATCACTTATAAGAAATGATGGATGTTGATATTTTCCTAATAAACTTTCTTAAAGTTTGTTTCTATGCATATACATATACAAATATATATGGGTGCTTCTTCTATAAAATAGAATGTTATTTATCCTGTTCAGGAACATGTATTTTTAAAAACAACTGTGATTAAAATTGTTTTATATAACTATATCTACTTCTTTATACTAATTTCTAAGAGCTTTAAAAGATTTTGTTGCATGAGTATTTCATAATTTGTTGGACATTTAGTTATTTTAATTTTTTAAAATCAAGTAATGGGTTTTTCTGGGAATTTAATTAAAGGTACACAGTAGTTTTTACTGAAGAAACCTATTTAACATCGTATAACTCAACGTTTCCTAAACCCTGTTTTCATTGCTCTTACAAATTATTTTTCAGGAAAAGTAGTTTCAGTGATCCAGTGGACATATGCAGCTGCCTGTTGGTATCAGATAGTTGTAGGGAAGAATCTCAATGTTCTTAGTTTCTTAGAATTTGTCTTTTTAAAACCAGGAATGATGGATGTCATTACTTGCAATGAAAAGTGAATGGGAGGGAGAGAAATACTGATGTGAAAGAGAAGCATCAACTGGTTGCCTCCCATATGCACTCAGGCTGGGAATCTTATGCACCAGGACTAGGGAGCGAGCGCGCAACCTAAGCATGTGCCCTGACCAGGGAATGGAACTCACAACCTTTTGCTATGGGACAATGCTCCATCCAACTGAGCCACCCCAGCCAGGGCACAGATGTTATTTTATTTTTTAACTCTTTCACTTAGATTTACTTTTGTAGGCAGTCCCTGGGCCACATAGAATCCTAAAGATGTGAACAGGCACAAAACAGGGTCAGAGTATGTGAATATGTCCAGGTAAGGACAGGGAGGGTGGGAAGTTAGACATAAAAAGGGAGGCCATCTTTCATACTTAAGAAAGGCCAGAGACTACCTTTGCTTGAGTTAAATCTAAGTCTGAGATATAAATTTTACTGCTTCCTCATTGGCCAAACTAAAACAATACAAAAATTGGTTCATTTTTCTTTCTTTTCTTTCTTTTTCTTTCTTTCTTTCTTTCTTTCTTTCTTTCTTTCTTTCTTTCTTTCTTTCTTTCTTTCTTTCTTTCTTTCTTTCTTTCTTTCTTTCCTTCTTTCTTTCTTTCTTTTCTTCTTTCTTTCTTTCTGCCACATTTTAAGTCTTTGGATGTTGCAGACTTACAGAATCGCAATGTGTTCTATGGCTCCACAATGGGCTTTTCTATCCATTCTGCTAAGAACATAGATTTAAAGGCTTTAAAGACTTAATTCTAATGAAGCAATACTCAAATGGTTGAATTCCTTTTCCTCCTTTCCTGCTTGCTTCTCGTTTAAACTGGCAAGACCACAAAGTTAGCAAAATTCTGCCTCATTATTTATTCCTAAGACAACATTTAAATTTATTCTTTGCCATAATGAGGCTTAAACTTGAGGGAATGCTGGCAACCGAGTCCTGATAGCAGGCTTAGTTCATCAAACATCCTGGTCAATTTTAATTGAGAAACTTTGCCAACTTACTGTGGTACAATAAGGGACCTTCATGTCAAATTTTATCTACAGAATTGTGATCTACTGTGAAATAAAAATATTATTTCATAAACTGTGTGAATTTGAATGCGATGTTTTTGTTTTTTACTTAAAATCAACTTTGACAGATCAGAGTCAAGGAACGTTTTCATAATGGACACCTCATCCAAAGAAAATATCCAGTTATTCTGCAAAAATGCAGTGCAACCTGTAGAGAGGCCTTCCTTTAAAACAGAATATTCCCCCTCAGAGGAGAAACCCCCCTGCTGTGGTGAACTAAAGGTAACAAACAATTAAATGCTAAAAAAAAACTGTAAGTAGTTAACTGAAGAATAACAAAGAATTAAGAGGAGTTGGTAGTCTTGGCTCTCTGTCCAGATGCTTTGTCATACAATGTAACTAAAAGCAATTTTTTTTTGTTTCCTAAAAAGTAATCTCGATGCAATTTATTGAAACGGCACTTTGCCAGGCAGTAAAAGCAATCTCCACCTGACCGTGTAGCTTAAATCCTTTCCTGGCTCATTTGAATTCCCTTTTAAACAGGAAGCAGATAAAAAGGAGAACCTAATATTTATTAAACATCTACCATGTACCAAATACCAGATATTGTACTATGCATAGTTATAACATTTAATCTATAAGCATTACATCATTTCCATTTAGAAAATAAAATGTTTGACTTCTTGATACACGAGAAGGGATGGAGGAAGTTCAGTGCTGCTTTTCGTCCCTCCAAGTTCCTGTTATATCTTGATACTAAACATTCACTCAACAAATATACATCTTTTTCTATATTAATGCTAACCCATTAATGCTATCATCATACACACAGGTCTAGCAAAATACATAAGCCAGATATCAAAAGGTTGCATGCACCACCAATGTGAAACACACAGTCATAGGTGCTAAACTTGTTTGTGTTGGTTTATGGTGTTTGTTTTATTTTCTTACCTGTGAATGGCTTTTTCCTTTCTTTCCTTCACCATACAATGAGTCTTCTTTCAAAGTCAAGACTCCTTTTAATCTCCTTTGAGGTAAGGAGGAAGAAAGAAGAAAAAATGAGTTCAACGTACATTTGGAGTAAAAATTCTTTTACTTTAAAAAGAAATTGAATTTTTAGAAATATACATACGCTTGAGGCTGAAATGCTTGAACACAATTTTCAATGACAACAAGTTTGTTACGTTCTTCTCCATTTGGGTTTTTTGTTTGTTTGTTTAGTAAGTTCCCAGTTGCTGTCAAGCTGGAGTCAGACTAAGTGTGACCTGTCATACGTTCCAGGTGTTCCTGGGTGCCTTGTCTTTTGTTTACTTTGCCAAGGCACTGGCAGAAGGCTATCTGAAGAGCACCATCACCCAGATAGAGAGAAGGTTTGAAATCCCTTCTTCACTGGTGGGAGTTATCGATGGAAGCTTTGAAATTGGTAGGTATTACAGGTGCCTGACTTCCCTTTTAAATACAAGGTCTTCTAGGCATGACTAAGGAACATCCTCTCTGTAACTTGTTCTCTCTGAGCAACGACAATGTATTTTCAGGTGTGCACTACCGTATGGGTCATACATTTCAGAGTTCCCAGAGTGAGAGACTTCCCTGGAGTAGAGAGGTGAGATGCTGTTAGTATTTCGAGTTTAAAGTCTGTGGGCAGTGTCTTTACAGAAGAGTCTTAGATCCTGGAAGCTCTGTGATTCAATATTGAGAAGAATCCAGATACGCTGTATGAAAAATCATTATAATTATAGAAGAAGTTAAACCATTAAAGGGGGTTTCTACCCAGTGCCTGAGGAAGAAAAGAGACGAATTCTGTGGACAAGAACAATAGAACAGAGCAGATAATAAAAATCCTTTACTCGGGTGTCTTTGGTTAGCAATTGACTATAGACACTCCTTTAGAAGTTTGAAAAGACCAATAGAGTTCACTCAGAGTTTTGGAAGTACTTCAAAGGGTATGATCTGATCCCAGTTAGCTTCCTGAACTGATAAATAAGAGGCTTTAATTCTTTGTCAGTGTAGAATAGTAAGTAGCTCTGTGGTCACTACTGCCAACATGGGACTCAAATATATGCTGTAGTAAAAACCTCTGACTGCTACAGTTTCTGATTCACTTGATAACTTTCCCCAGATGATGCTGATGCTGTTAGTCAACAGGTAAAGTTTGTGTAGCAAAGATGTTCAGAAACATCTGATCATAGCTTTGATGTAAACTCCTTAGGTAGTTCCTTTACTCCTTGATGCCTGCCCTTCCTATGACCCTGAACTGAATGAAGGGCCCTGGAGCCTCAGGGTAAGGGTGACACACTGCATCGTGAAAAAGCAAATACAAAGAGGCATCTGGTGCCACTCAGAAGAATAAATCGGACTCAGAAAGGAGGACTAAACAAACAGAAAACTAAATATCAATGACACTTTATGCTCACTTTAGATTATGGAATAAAAATATTTTGTAACTGAAGAAACTTAAAAAGAATCTGCTCTGGCTAGTGCGGCTCAGTGGATTGAGTGCCAGCCTGAGAACAAGTCGCTTGTTCAATTCCCAGTCAGAACACATGCCTGGGTTGCAGGCCAGGTCCTCAGTTAGGGGTGAGTAAGCGGCAACAGATACACGTATTTCTCACACATTTGATGTTTTGCCTCCCTCTCTTTCTCCTCCGCTTTTCCTCTCTTTAAAAGTAAATAAATAAAATCTTTAAAAAAAGAATCTGGTCTAAACTATTTCTTAGATTTTCAAGTCCCAGAACAACTCGACAAATTAATTCTTCTAGACCATTCTAAGGATAGAAACTACTTACTTAGATACAATAAAATAATTGAAAGTTTTCTTATTTCCATTACAAAGTTTTATCTGAAACATTACAAGTTTGCTCTAGCTATTTTCTTTTCACAGTTTTTCAGAAAGGTACATTTTTTCCCACCATAATTTTAATATTCTCTTCTTTCTTCTCTCTACATTCTTTCCTTCCAGGACTCTGGACCCATTTTGACCCTCTGTCTCTAGCTGTTGATTCTTATTTTTTGCAGAACAATTTTAGTTATCTTTTCACATCATTTGGCATTATCATCTAATACACACTACATCCTCAGTTTCATCTCAAGTGTTTTTTCATGACACAGTTTTTGTTCTCCAACAACCACAGAGAGTTGCCAAGAACATAAAATTTTTCTATATCATGACCTGCTCACATTTCCAGATATTAACTCCTTGTTTCAAATATTTTCCATGTGTTTTCTTCCCCATGGATACAAGTTTTGCTCTTTTACATTTTAGTATGTACTACACTTCATATTTTAGAGCACTGTTAAGTTCACAGAAAAAAACGGAGCAAAGGTGCTGATATTTTCTGTACACACCCTGCCTTCACACACACGTGCCCTCTCCCATCACACACAGCTCCCACCAGACTGGGACGTTTTTACAACTGACAAACCCTCAAGGACTCATTGTATCATCCAGAGTGCAGAGTTTATATGAGGTTCACCCTTGGTATTGTACATTCAGTAGGACTAAACAAATGTATAACAAATGTATAACAAATGTATAACAAATGTATAATAGTGGGTGTAACATACACCCACTATTACAGCACCACACTGTGTACCACACTGCTTTAAAAATCCCTGTGCTCTGCCCAGTCGCCTGTTCTCCATCCCTCACCCTGAGAAACACAGAACTTTTAATGGTCTCCATAGCGTTGCCTTTCCCAGAATGCCATATAGTCGGAATCAGATAGTATGAAGCCTTTTCAGATTGGCTCCTTTCACTTAGTGATATGCATTCAAGGTTCCTCCATGTCTTTTCATGGATAGCTCATCTCTTTTTAGTGCTAAGGTAACAGTCTCTTTCCTGGATGAATCACAGTTTATTTATCCGTTCATCTATTAAAGGACATTGTAGTTCCTTCCGAGTTTTGGCAGTTATGAATGAAGACTGTAAATATCCATGTGCATTTTCGTATGGACATAAATTTTGACCTCCTTTAGATGAGTACCAAGGAGCGTGATTGCTGGGACATATGGTAAAATATGTTTAGCTTTGCCCTGGCTGGGTAGCTCAGTTCATTGGAGCACTGTCCCATACACCAAAAGGTTGAAGGTTCGATTCTGGTCAGGGCACAGACCTCAGTCGTGGGTTTGATCCCAGGTTGGGATATATTTGGGAGACAGCCAATCAGTGTCTCTCTCTCTTTCCCTTCCTCTCTCTCTAAAATCAATAAAAAACGTATTCTTGGGTGAGGATTTAAAAAATGTCTAGTTTTACAAGAAACCACCAGACTGTCTTTTGAAATGGCTATATGATTTTGCATTCCCAGCAGCACTCATTTTCGTTTTATTTGTTGTGACACTTTAACAAAAACACAGACATAATTAACAATATGTGCGATACAAAATTTCCTCTACTAACCACTGAACTGTCAAATGAGAAATCTTATACTCAATTTTTTTTCAATTTGAAAATGAAATAGAGGCTATATACTTCTGGGGCTATAAAGCCTGAAGCCACTATGCAAAACCCCTTTTCTCATTATCACTATTGTTCTCAAGGTTATAAAAACTACTTCTCTTTTTATATTCGAATAAAGCTTGCAATGTGAATGAACAGTAGTAAATTAAATGATTGCTTACAGATGTAAGGAAACCCTCTTGCTAGAAAATTGGAAACATCGAGAAGGACTTGAATGCATGGCTACCCATCAGCCATCACAGTCAATTACCCCAGGATTGCTAAGTTCTTGCTCTATCCAACACGCCGGATCTTAAAAACTACATATTCCAAGTGAAAATGGTTTAAAATTTATAGCCCCTTGATATCTGAGACCCTAAAGAGTGTTCATCAAAGCATGTTCCCCGCCAACACATCTGAGCTAGTATTACACCCGCAGGTTTCTTGGCCTGCCCTCAGATAGGTGGAATCAGAAACTGTCAGATTCTGCACTTTGAATGTTTCTGTTTACTCATCACCTCCTTCCAGTCACTTTGTGCACAAGAAGGCATGAGAGCATCTTCCCCAAAGCGTGTTCAATCAGTTAACACCATCGTCACATGCACCTTTAGAGACATTTTAAAAAGGCCCAATTCCCACCTTTAAAAAACATCCCCTAAGTATTTTTTAAAAAAGAGATAGGTGGCTATATTGTGTGGAGAGTTTATAGATCATAAAATTTTTATAATAAGTATATAATAAAATTATATAACAGGTTATATAATTGATGTGTTCCTAAATTTGCTTATGTGTAGCTGTTTTTATTTCAATTTTGAGTCTTAATTTTTTGTAAAAAAGTATATAAACAAATTGTAAAGTATCACTTTTGGGTAAGTATGAACTTTATCATTTGATTTTATTTAAAGTCAGGTGTAGCTGTTGCCCTTTGTCTTTAGGGAATATCAGCTAAAGCAAGAAAATATAATATACGTTTCAAGAGCAAATGGGAAACTAATAAAAGTTTTATTAGAAAACTTTAATAAATGAAGAAACGATAATAAAGTTTAATGAAGAAACAGTAATAAAGTTTGTTTCAAATCAGCAAAGAAAATTTAAAGTGACAGCTAAAGGATGCCTTCTACAGTTTGATTACAGATAAAACACTGTAGAAGGACAAATAATTAGGGGTTGTGTGCAAATGAGGTGGAAGGGTTTGTCCTCAAAGTGTTCTGACAAAGGGGTGACATGATTGGAGTGATGAGTCTGAAGGCAATTCCAACAGTCATCTCAGCTTACAGGAAAGAAAGTCAAAAGATAGGAATGATGGTGGGAGATGGTTTAGTCAAAACAAAATATAGCTAGACTAGTTACAGACATTCAGTTAAATTCATTTAGTTATTCTGATGACTTTTTCTGAGTTCTCTAACTTATGAAAATTTTATTATTTCCCTCAAAGGGAATCTTTTAGTTATAACATTCGTTAGCTACTTTGGCGCCAGACTTCACAGGCCAAAAATCATCGGCGCAGGGTGCCTGGTCATGGGCGTCGGGACACTGCTCATTGCGTTGCCTCAGCTCTTCATGGAACAGTAAGTCTAAGCCCATCGTCCTGTTCTTGCTCATGCCCACCACTGCATTTCTCCCTTTTTATGGTTACAATAAATTATTTAAATTTAAAAGGTAGCCCATGGTTTAAACCATAATTTACATCTTATTTTTATTATGTCCTCTTTGGGTGAAATTTCAGACCACTTGCAGTTTTACTTATGATTTATGAATCTAAAAAAAAAAACCTCTTTTACTCCTATGTATTGACATCAACAAAATTAAAGGAAATTTTCACTTATATGTCTTATTCAAACGCTATCATTTAGCTGTGGAGGCAAATATATGGGCAAAAAGAAATTAATATATTACATGATAAGTGTCAAATAGTGTCAGTTGGGTAATGAATGAATGCTGCAGATAACACACTGGATCATGGTACACTGGATTGATAGGACATTGACATGAAGATAGATTGTCAACTCAAATAAGTATTCAATTTATAAATATTATCTCATAGAAATTCCTCCATAACAGTGGGGTATTCATATTCCTTAACCCTGAAATCTACCTTTCGGACTTTTGTTAGTACATTTGTTAGTACACGCATACAGCTTTAGTAGTTCCGAAGGTTTTCGCCTTTATTATGTCATTTCACCCTTACAATAATCTGTGGGGTAGAAGAACATAGTTTATACTTTTTTCTTTTATTTGAAAGTTAGGCACCATGATTTAAACAGTCTGGTGACTTCCTCAGGTCTGGCTGTCATGTGGTCTGACTTCCTCATGCACATCCATGCTGCCTCCATTCTCTGTGGTTACCCATTGCTGACTGACAAGTGACCTCAAGACATGTCAAAACAAGTGAATAGTTTTATAAACTATTTATCAACTAATACTTTGATTATTGCCCACTCTAGATCATTGCATTGTGACATATCAGAGATGGAGATACTTAGAAATGATCCGGTCCAAGCTATTCTTTGGGTTATAGGTAAGTGACCTGGGAGTCACTTACAGAAACAGTCAGACTTTGCCCTCTGTGGCCAATCTCTAAAGGCAGTGCACAGAGTCGTCTGTGGGGGGTCTTTCCTACCTGTCTGGATGGTTTCCCTTTCCTTCACTTCTACTTGGAGAGGGACCTGAGGCTTCAGGACTTCTGCCTATTCTTTGGACACATCTCTGGCCTCCTTTCCACGGGGCAGAAGTTTACTTGCATCACTGAAGGTCCTCAAAGGTGTTATGTGAGCCAATGGGTAAGGAAGGGGCAAAGGAAATAGCTGAGAAAATGAGTCTCCAATCTGCCCAACCCCTGCTTGATCTCTGATTCAAAAGCATTTATACCACAGGTCCCCTTTCCATCACCTCTTTTCTCCTTCTTTGATCAAGCCTAATTAGGCACAGACCACATCTATAGCCCCCATTTTAAAAGTAAAAAAAATTGAAATTCAAAGAGGGTATTTAGTTTTCCAGAAGCGTCATCTGTGGTAATTAGTTACCAAAGTGGCACTTACATAAAATTCCATTCATTCAAACAACAAATAATTATTATGCCTGCAACAGTAGCTTTTTTGATAGGTTGAATTGAGAAAGCTCAAATAATTAACAATTTTCAAAATACTGCATAATCACTATTGACACTCATTTTAAGGGCCCTGAGGCTTTGTAACAGTTCCTGGTATTTCTGGAATTACTTTTTTAAATTATTTTATTGTTGTTCAAGTATAGTTGTCTGCATTTACTCCACACTAGAATTATTAAATTAAAAAATTATATTCAACATGATTTTAATGCTAAATGCTCTATGTAGCTAAGAATCGAAAAACAGATTTCCTCATTAAGTGATTCTTCATGTATTTTCATGAAGGAATCTTTGATAAAAGTAACAAAAACTACAAGCCTCTTTCCTTAAATACTCACATACATACAGAAACGTGATTTTTTCCATGAGGTTCATGGACCCTCTGAATTGTAGGTATTGCAAAACTGATATAAATTAACCCATTTATTAACCTGAATATTTTCATAACTCTATACAGCTTTCCCTTACTATGTAGAATAGGTTTTCACTATTAATATTTCAATTCACATCACCATGATGACCAGTCTCTAGTCACCTACTGCCTGAACAGAAAGAGGATCCAGATGACGTCAGCTGTCTGTCAGCTGTCTCTCCTCTAAAGGGTGCAATTGGTGCAGAGAAACTGGCTCCTGAAGAATCATTTGAGAGGCAGCATAGCTCTATCATTCAGCTTTGGCTCTTTAACCCAGCTGCCACTGTAACCTCATTAACAGAACAAAGGGTGCAATTAGAATCGACTTAGAGCCAGATGAATAAACTGAGAAGAAGTAGTACACCATCTGGACAAATGGCTCAAAAGGCCCGTGTATCATCGGTTCTCTAGAAGCAGTACTGCTGTTGCTCCACTGAACTTACTGCCATAATAAATGCAGCACCAATGACCATGGTCGCTAAATCACTGCTCTTCCTCTGCTGCAGAGATAACCGTGATTTTACCAAGTGTTGGATATGTTTTCACCAAGAGAGTATGTGACTTGTAGTCATTATTTTATATTAAAGTGAGCTTCTATGAATAAGTCTGGCTTTTATTTTCTTTCACTACACTGGACAATTGGTTCAAATATGGTATAATGCCTGTGAGTCAGATTTTCTCGTTGTCTCTTTAGCAAACTCTGCTACAAAATGCTGATTTGGTTTGGTGATGCAGTTTCAGGGACAGGTGAGAACTCAAGTAACCTAATGAGTCATGGATCAATATTACACATGTAATATTTTAGCATGATGTTAAATGAGTCCATAGTATAAAGAAAATGTTCTTTTTATACAGGTACAGATATGAAAGATATTCTTCTCTCTCCAATTCCACTCATAGCATCTCGCCATGTTTCCTGGAGTCTAACAGTCAATTACCAACCTCAGTTATGAAAAAAGCACAGTCTAAAATAAATAATGGTAAGATGATTTTGTTTTTACTTTAATGACTAAGCGAGCTTTTTTAAAACAGATATTATATGTGCTTTAGTATGGACAAAATATCTATATATAATTTTTGCTGTCAAAAGCTTTACTACTTAAATTGAGATGTTGGAGTGCCATAAAAATTTCTAGAATATGAAGCAGTATATGATGAGATCCTAAGAATATATATAGGCAATCAAATAATATGGGACAAGTAGCATTAATTGCTGGTGACTGAGGACAATTTTTTTAAATTGCTTCCCAGTGGTTCAAAAATGCAGGCCAAGAAATCATGGTAAAAGTAGCTTAGCATGAACAGATCTCAGTCCATTGCTCAGATATGATAGAAATATATTCTATCATATCTGATATATAGAACTCTATATAGAGAGTTCCATGTGGCTGATGCACGTTACACAGCAATGTTATGTATGAGCCACCCTCAGGGACATGGGGATCATCTCTCTGTGTTACTGCAGACACTGGAAACCCTGTGAGGAGCTGAAGACAGAGCTGCCTAGCTACCCTGTGCAACCATTTCATGTTTGGGGTCTTTCCACCTCCATGGACTTGGCCTATTCATCCTGGCATGGATTCTTCTAGTTCATGGAGTCCAAAGCCTTACTTACGGGTGTTTGCCACATCTCTGGGATGATGCATGGACAGCAGCTCAAATCCCATCTCTCCACAGCCCTTCAGCATCAACATGCTCAACTCCTCCTTTCACCACCCTAACTCACTCCCTATTGCTAGCCTGGGATCAATTTCTGTAAAGTATGGAAGTCCTTCTTTTATATACCTATATGCTAACCATCCAAATCTTTGCTCTATATCATATAACCTTTTCACTCCTTTAACATCCTCACTAATGCTTTCTTTTGAGATGCTTTTTCCTACACAGTGAATATTGGAGTTCTGGCTGTTTGGATGAAGGGAAGGGCCAGAGGGTTAAAAGAAATATATAAAAAGGAGGGGAGAAAGTGGGATGGACATACTGGACATAAAGAATATGATGGATAATAAATTTCATCCAGGCTCACATAACAAGGCAAGGAATTGAGCTAAAGGGTTTGGATTTTCATCTGTACACAGTGTAGTCATTGAAGATATTTTATTTTGTTTTTGTGTTAGACAATCAGGGAAGAGACATGATATAAATGACAGTGAAACTCATTAGGAAATATTTAAACCTTTAGTGTTAAAAAAGAAACATAGCGTTTAGAGGTGGGGAATGAAGATGTTTTTAATGTAAAGAGACACATTAAGTATGTACAGAGTATAAGATTCAGAGCCCAATTCTTTTCTTTCCTTTTTTCCTTTAAAAGCATAGACATATGTGGACAATAGACACAGTGAACATAAGGCTCATCCTAAAGATGATAGTGGGATAAACACAGGACTCCTCAAAAAGGCTGTATACACCCCCATTTTCCCATAGCACTCTAGAGCAGAGGTGTCCAACAGAACCCTCTGTGATGGCAACAATGGTCTGTACAGTAGCCATTGGCCTTGCATGACAGTTAGATACTTGAAATATAGCTAGTTGACTTAGGAAATTAATTTTTAGCTTTATGTAATTTTAATTAATTTAAATTCCAACAGCCACATGTGACCATGCCTACTAATGGTGGAAAGCACATATCCAACATGTCTACACTTACTTGTCAGAATTATCCACCAACAAGCTTCTGAGAATAATACACATACATGTTAGGGCTAGAATTGATGGCAGAGTCAATTTTTTGGAGAAGTTCACATTATATGTTGGGGAATGGAATAGAAATCTAGAGAAGATGAGAAGTGGTGGAATTAAGACAAAAAAGAACGTGGTCTTTTTTGTTATGCAGACTGATTTATCTACATGTAGGTATTCACCCCAGTTCTTCATAACCCACACTTCACCTTGAAAAATTACTTTAAGGGTTACTAACAGGTGAAGGTAACTCCTGGGTCATGGGATTACTAGGAGAATTCTATTTAAAATTGTCTACAAACAACTTAGCCCAGTGGCTGACAGAAGGGAGTATTCAGAAGTGATTGTTGGAGATTGTTAGTATTATCCTCTTCATTAAAGTGACTAAACTCTCCAAAGTATATTTCATTTATGATATGGGACTAATTATCCACCTTCACACATTCATGTTAGGACATGGCTTTTATGAAAGCATTTTAAAGTCGTTAGCATTGAATTTCACTCTAAAAATACAGTGAAAGCTTCCTTTTGTTGAAATAGTTATACCATTAAAGCTTATAGGGTTTTTAATTTTTATACAAATTGTTTCCTAAACATGAACCCTAACAATGGTTATTCACTAACAACAATTATAATTATAGGCAATGCTACCAAAAGTTGAAGTATCAGCCATAATTTTTTTTAATTTCAGATAAAAAATTAGTCAGATAAATGACTAAATTTAAAAATGACTAAATTTTTAAATTTCAGATAAAATTTAGTCAGCAATAAAATTACGAGTGATTTCTGCTGAAAAATAGGTAAGTTTAAGGATTAAGGCAAGAGAAGTCTTTGTTCAAATTTTTGTGTTTCATCCTGAACAGGAAGATATTGAATTGTATTGGAATGTAGGAATTCCAAGAACTTTGTTTAAGTATGAAATAAAAAAAGAGAGAAAATAAGAAGGAAACAGGAACAGCACCACCTAAACTATCGAAGTTACCAAACATTTCCTGATCTTGCTCAAGCATATCGAATTGTGTCTGTGGCTTATTTCACTTCTGCATTCAAATCCAATTTTAGGACAACTTGTAGGAATACAGAATAAATATTAACTTTGATCATAATCTAATTTCAATCATCTTGTTTGCTTTTCTTTCAAGAATGTGAAGTCGACACCAGCTCCTCCATGTGGGTTTATGTTTTCCTGGGTAACCTTCTTCGTGGAATTGGAGAAACGCCCATCCAGCCTCTAGGCATCACCTACCTTGATGATTTCTCCAGTGAAGACAATGCAGCTTTCTATATTGGTAATGCCCCCCTTATTTATCTTCTTGGGAAGCAGGGTACCTGGTTTTCTCAACTCCATTCTAAACTAAATCAAGCATGGAAGGCTTTTACTTCATATACATCTCCTTTATTCAGTTTACACATTTCTGAAGTCTATACTGGGATTTCAATAATATAATAAACTTAAATAAAGGACCCTATTGTACTAGGGAAAGAAAATCAGATCAAAAGAAAATAACTTTGAATTGAACAGCAATGGTGCATGACTCTGTGTAAGTATCTTCATGGACTTTATGGACTGCTGAAGCATTTGGATGTTAGAGAGAGAGAGAGGTTAGTCCTGGTGTTATTTTCTTACTGAGAGGTAATTAATGCCTTAAAAGGGTTTGTTTTTCTTCCAAAACTGAGAAGGAATTATTTCCTAATTCAATGAAGTTGAAAAATTGACAAATTAAAGGCACTTAGGAGTTGATGAAATATTTGCAGGTACTATCTAGATCTCCTTCACATTTTTGTTGAAAACAGTATTAATTTACAAAAGTAAAGAAATGACACCTTATTTTTCTTAATTTTTTTATTTCATTTATTTATTTTTTTGTGTGCAGGGTGTGTGCAGACGGTTGCAATTATAGGACCAATCTTTGGCTTCCTGTTAGGCTCATTATGTGCCAAATTGTATGTTGACATTGGCTTTGTAAACCTAGGTAAGGGAACTTATTGTTATTTATTCATTTATTTTATCATAAAATTTTAATGGGATGGTGTAAAAATAGCAAATTGACTTTTTATAAAATGACAGGATGATAATCTGTCATAAAATAAAAATAATCCATGGAAAACTTGCTATTGATAGAACCAGCATGCGCATTAATAAATGGATTATGAAAAGTAGGTGGTGATTAGCACTGGATGGGCCATGGTTTTTTACTCCCACATATTATTTTCACTTCTGCTGAGCCAGTTCAAATGCATGCCAGCACAGTTAAAACTAAAAGCTGGCCACTTATTGGCTCTTGGTGGTTTCAGGTGCATCAACATATTACAATCACACCAATTGGCGATATATTGGTGACTAGCCAGAAAAAACAAGGATTATTATGTTAAAATAGAATGCACAACTCTTGCATTAGTTGTTCTTCTTTAATCAAATAAACTGCAGGTATATTCTAAAAACCTGATTCATTTGCTAATTCATTAACCTCCAAAGTTTTATTTTACATCTACTTTATCCCAGGTGCTATTTCACCACAGTGAACAAAATAGCTGGGTTTATTGACTCCTTGAACTTTAAAATCCAGTCCTAGAGACTGATACAGATAAGAGAGGATAGGTGTGATGAGTGGTACAGAGAAAAATGGTGAAGGGGACGCAGTGAAGATGCAGTGATAAACTAATACAAACATTTTACCAGGTTGAATGCAGCGGCAACTGAGCCTAGTTGTCAAAGGACATGCTTATTTTTTGCTCTCATAGAGAGTGATAGAGGTGAAGATAGTCATATGTTTTATAGGTTCTTATATATTTTGTGAAAATACTTTGTTTGGTTCAAAAAACTATGTCAATGCTTACCTTTAGTGCAGTGAGAAATGGTGTCAAAAATAAAGCTTTTCTGATAAGATACTGATGTTTTATTTACACGTACAAATCTTGTTTCAGATCTGTAATAGTTCTGAAGTACTGTTAAACATCATTTAGTAAATAGCACTTATCGTGCTCCAGACTAGACTTGGGCCGCAGGGTGCAGGACACAACTCCTTCTCTGAGTAAAATCTGAGACAGATGTTCAATATATAAATCAGAGGAAATGGTGCTGATGTGGTGCAGCTGGTGGCAGGTTCAGGACCCCCCCCTCCTAACCATGGGTCCAGAGTTCCTCTGCCGGACCCCAGGGCAGAGTTTAGAAACCATAAGATTCCAGTGGTTAGACTCTACTTTTAATTTAAGGAACAGCAGAAGAAATCACCATGTCCCACCCCTTTTCCTTTGAATAGCAAGATAATAATGTTCAGATTAGAAAGAGTTATGTGTGAATTATTGACGATTTGATAATGTGATTGAGCTAACGCTAGGATTTTTTTAATAAAAGAGGCTTAGTTCAACACATTGGCTTGGCTGTGCATGCTACTTAGCCATCCTCTCTCTTTTTCAGATCACATAACCATTACCCCAAAGGATCCCCAGTGGGTAGGTGCCTGGTGGCTTGGCTACCTAATCGCAGGAGTCCTAAGTCTTGTTGCAGCTGTGCCTTTCTGGTGTTTACCAAAGAGTCTTCTGAGACCCCAAAGCAGAGAGGATTCCAGTTCTTCTGAGAAGTCCAAGTTTATTATAGATGATCACACGGAGTACCAAACACCCAATAGAGAAAAAGCAAAAATAATGGAAATGGCAAGAGGTGAGCCAGATTCTCTTCGATTTTGAAATACTTTCAGTTTTCCTGTTTGGACTTTATAGGGGATCTATAAGGAATACCCCTCTTTTCCCTTCATGTGTTCAGAAAATCATTAAGAAACTATACAGGAAGCAGAAATGAAGATTTAAAAGCCAGGTTTATTACTAGGAAATGATTGAAGAACACAACCCAAAGTCTTGGTACCCTTTCTTGCTGACATCCGCACCCTCACACTTCAGTGTAGACCTTGCAACTGCCCCCATGGGATTGCTGTTTCACATCAGTCTGGGTGAACAGAAAGGAAAAGAGTGACTCTTCAGGGCATGTGGCCTTTTAGAACAGATGAGATTCATCCATCTGAGAAATGTGTGCCAGTGCAAATCTCCTGCCCATGATGGGAGGACTGAGTGTGTTCTGGTGAGTTCCCTTCATGTGTAAGTGGGTCTCCATTGGAAGAACTGGTTTCCCTCAGCTGGTCTTGGAAAGGGCCCTGGTGAGTAATATTTACATTTGTAAAAAAAAATAAACTGTTTGGCTGCATAGTAAGAAGAAAGGAGAATGCCAAAGCTTGATTCTTTACAAGAAAGCCTATACAGTAAATGGAGACAATGTTCATATGCGTTTCCTTGTGACCATTTCCCAAGTTTGAAGAACACACAAGAAGACCAATGTTGATGCCCTGCCTGTGACTCCCAGCACTGTCGGAGTCTTCTTGCCTCACACGCACATCAGTTAGAGGGGTCTGTTTTTGTCTTACTTGCAGGTATACCTCTAATGATAATATAAATTTTATGCCTGTGGAAGTAAGTGCCCTATGTCTAGATCTTAACTGGCCAGATCTCAGCCATGCCTTGTGCCAATGGCTTGATATCCATAGTGTGCATGCGTACCACACTGTAACTGCAGCTGGTGACTACAACCATGGGACTCAGCCATCCAAGCCCTGTTGCCAAGGCTCTGTCTTCTGCTGGGTATGACTCTGTCTTTAATCACTTCTCGTTATTTCTGTCTCACAGATTTTCTTCCATCACTGAAGAATCTTTTTGGCAACCCAGTGTACTTCTTGTATTTGTGTGCAAGCACCCTTCAGTTCAATTCTCTATTTGGCATGGTGACATACAAACCGAAATACATCGAGCAGCAGTACGGGCAGTCGCCCTCCAGGGCCAACTTTGTTATCGGTACGCTCCTCTGCACTTCATGCTTTCCAGCGGGCACTGCCAGCGGGCACTGCCAGCTGCCTCTTGTTAACTCTTAGTACTTTTAGAGAAAATTGTTCCAATATTTCAACTGAAGAAAATTTATGACATCTTAGATATGAAGTGGAAAAGTTAGCAAAAGTAACCTAGCAGATTGAAATGTGTAGGTAGTCCGTGGTACAACTTTCTAGCAAAATTTCTTCACAACTCTGGGTGAGTGACCTTGAGACTCTCACACAGATCAAACATGAGTCTTATTAGAAGATTGCTAATACAAAATATTTATCTTTCAAGTGTAGACAAACTCTAACTATGGACATTTACTGAACACTTTCTAGAATTACAAAAAGAGAGTATTTATGCAGGTCAAAGTAGATCATTACGAAACAAAGTTTGTGTTTGCTCAGTCAAAAGACTTCTGATTCCTGGCATTTGTCTGGGTTATTTCAGGAGGCTGTGTTTCTAGCATGGTGGTATGGTCAATAATGAGAAAGTTATCCCAGTACAAAAAAGAGAATGAAAAACCAGAATCTACAAATACACCAACATCACCTTGCGAGGAACTGGATATTTTGAAAACTTGGATTAGCTACTTTTATCTTTTTTGTTTCAAGGCACAAAATATATTCTATTTTTTAACATACCCCTTTGTGAAGGGAGACTTCAATGTTTAAAATCACTTATTCTTCTGAAAATATTTAAAGAATTGTTCTATGTATTTATCCCTGATGTTTTAGGATATATATTTTTTCTATAACAATCCGAGATAATGAGCACTGAGCAGATGCTAATCTGACAGACTCTGTTCAAGCAATTCTTCCTCTAAATTTTAAGTATTCCGACTATACCCTGGCACTTTTACTTTCAACATGAATAGGTTCAAATTAACTTAATGTTATTATTTGCTGGTTGACAGGAAGAAATATTTTAGGTGCTTTTTTCCTCCAACACTCCATCCAGGCCAGTCAATGCTAAGAACAGGATAGAAATAAAAGTTTGAGACATTCTTTTCTATTTTAACATCCCCTTTGTATTTATTGTGGTATAACTTATAAGCAACAGTTAAATTTACAGACCTTAAATGTATAGCTCAGCTAAACAAATATGTGTGTGTGTGTGAATCTGTGTAGTAACCTTTGTCCAGAGAACGTAGCCCATTTAATACCCACAGGGGTACTCAGTGATACTTCCTGCTCAAGACTCTTCCCCAAAGCTAATACCTACTCTGAACTCTATCCTCACAGATCAGTCTTGACTGGTTTTGCTTTTATATAGATGAAATAATGTTAGGTACTTCTTTATATCCACATTATTTTAATTAAAGTGAATCTGCTCAGATTTGTTCATGTTGTACATAGCAATGGTTACATTTTCATTGCTGTGTAATACTCTATCACATGAATAGACTACAATTTATTTACTCACTTTATTGCTGATGGACATGTGGATTGTTTTCTGCTTTTGGCTATTCTAAGTAACACTGCATGATTGTTCTACATGTATTTTGGTGAGTGTATACATTCATTTTCTTGGCTGTATCTTGGAGCAGAATTGCTGGGTCATAGGGAATATGTATATTTAGATTGAGTAAATATTGTCAAAACATTTTTACATAAGAGTTATGCAAATTTACACTCCCATTAGAAATGTTCAGAATGTTTCAGTCACTCCACATCCTGACAACATAGGAAGCTGTCAGTCTTCCTCACTGTCACTGTTCTTATGGGGTCTGGTGGTATCTCACTGTGTTTTAATCCATATATAAATGGTTAATGATGAGTACTTTCTGCAGGCTTGTTCATTATTTCAACGTTCTTTTTTGTTAATTATGTGCAAGTCGTTTGCCCACTTTTATAGTTGTCAATCTTTTTCTTATCAGTTTGTAGGAATACTGTTCTTTTCTCTTGATATAAGGTTTTTAAAATATTTATTTATTTATTTATTTATTTATTTATCTTTAGAGGGGAAGGAGAGGGGGAAAGAAACATCAATGTATGGTTGCCTCTAGTGCGTCCCCTGCTGGGAACTGGCCTGCAGGAAACTGGCTTGCAACCCAGGCATGTGCCCTGACTGGGAATTGAACCGCGATCCTCTGGTTCGCAGACCTGCGCTCAATCCACTGAGCTACACCAGCCAGGGCTTAAGGTTTTTTAATTAAATATATGTGTTATATTTTCTCATAGACTGTAATTCACCTTCTCACTTTCTTAATGGTGAGCTTCTTTTTTTAATTAAGTCCAATTTTCAATAGTTTTCTCAGTCATTATTGGTATTTTAAGCCTGTTTTAAGAAAACCTTTCAAACCTGAAAGACATAAAGATGTTTCCTAATATTTATACTAGTACCTTAATTGTTTTAACTTTTACATTTAGGTTATAATCTATTTCAAATTTTTTTTAGAAAATGAAGGAAAATGTCCAGGTTCATTTATCAAAATGAAAGACCACCTTTTCTTCATGAATTGTTGTAAAGTGATATATCTTTAAGCATATGTTTATTTTTTATTATAAAACATGTACATAACATTTAGAAAATTGGGGGATATTTGATTTTTCTCTCATGAAATTTTTATTTCAAATTGAAAGTTCATTTTATAAAAAGAAATTAAAAGAACTTTTGAGGGTATGTATTAATAATAGAAAATAAGATTATATGTAATTTAATTACTCTATAGAAGAGGTAATAAATGAAATACCTTTGCCTATGGAATTATTTTTAAGGAGAATTAGTACAGATTAAAATAACTGAAATTCTGAGAGGTTCAGTGGCCTGCCCAATATGATGCATGTATCTGTATTCTATGTATATTTTGATATAGCCAGGAATGAAATTATTTCCCCTGAGTTTCTAAGTTATATTTCCCCCCTGGGCATAATTATTTTTTGAAAACTGACAAGAAGATTTGAATAATTCTCCTTTTAAAATTGTGGATGCTAATGATTTATTTCTTTTAACCTATGACCCCTCTCTGCACACTCAGATGGACTATGAGATCCAAACTAACTCATCATAGAATTTTTTGATCTACCTAACACAAGTCACCTAAATTCATCATAGTTTCTGTCATGGCACATCCAGAGATAATGCAAGTACTTTTGTAAAAGATAAGTAATAGTGTCTAATAATTTCACATCATTGTAGCTTGTATCATTTTCTGAGTATATCTTGGTTTCACATTAGTAAGTATGCAATACTTCAGAGTAAGAATAAGGGGGTAACTTATTCAACATCCCTAATGTTAATTTTGATTATTTTTAGAATGGTGAAAATAAATACATCATTGGGCTAAAAAATATATAAAATGTGTCATAAATATACATAGCTATCATTGAATAGATATTGGGCTTTGTTTCACTTCTTTTCTTTTGTCTTCTTTCTCTTTTCTCCTTCATTTTTTTTCTTTGGCTTGTGGACAATGATCCTTTCTGTGGTGAAATATGGAAGAGGCAGGAAGAAAGCACATTTTCCCTCTACTCTTAGAGAAGGAATTGGATATGACATGGAGGAAAAAAATAAGCAAACTTCCAGATGCGTTCAAAGGCCAGCTGTTACAATGACAATTTATTTCTGCTATACATATTTTTGTATGTTGGCCTTATTCTTTCTAAAGTTTAGAAATAGCATTTCCTCATGGCAACTACTTTAATTTTGCAAAAAAACTTAAAAATAAACAAAAATGTTTTAAATTCAGGGACTAAAGAGTATGTAATACAATGACTTCACTTTTTTAAGTTTGTGGATTTTGAAAATTTTTCTATTTCAATTACTGCTGAAAGAAGTGTGGATGAATAGTTGGATTTTCCATTTAAGCTCCTTCTATCATTATTAAGTTACATCAAATCATCTTATCTTTTCTTCTCCTTTGTAATATACAGTTAGTAATCATTTTTGCTTAATCTTGAAATTTTTAATTAAATAAGACAGTTTCCCGTAGATATAATGCATTGACATTAACCATCAGTGATAACAATAATTATCTTAAAAGGGTCACACAGAAAAGGAAAAATTAAGATAATTACTTGGGGAAAGGTGTTTACAATAGAAAGCATTAATTTCTTATAGCTAAGCTAGCATAGCAAATTTAATAATTGAATTATGATGTTCTAGAAAGGGAGAATCAAGTTAATAGTATAAAAAGGTGTTAGAGGAGTTAACAATTCATACTGAAAGAGCAATGCCCTTAGAATAACCTATTTCGATTCTCAGGCTCTTCTAGGTCAGAGAGCAGGAGGCAAAGGTCAAAGGAACCACAGAGCTAGAGAACAGTGGGTCTTCTTAGGGCTATGACTCCAAATGTCCCAGGTTTAATCTTTTACTTTGCAAAATAAAACAGAATCCTAAGTACATTCTCTGAAGGTTTTCATTCAGTACCTGGTTTTCAGAAGGTATTTTTTTCACAAATCTCTTTTAGGAGATAGAATTGAGAGACAGGATAAAACTCTGCATTCTTTTTGTGTTAACCCTGAATCTGCAAGAAATGATTCAAAGTCAAGTACTATGTGCACGTAAAAACAGGGACCTAAATGCACATGCAGTCATGACAGCCCTTAATTCTTAGGAAAAAAGACAAAACCTAAAACAGAGGGAGAATCAGCTTGACATAGTCTCTATTTAAGCAATGAGAAAAAATTGAGAAAATATTAGTATTTTTTAACTTGGATCATGAGTAACCAGGTTTTTTGTATCATTTTCTATCTTCTCTCTTTCAAAAAAAATAATAATCAGATGCCTCTTAGCTCATGTTTAACTCTTCAGGGATCCAGTATACACTCATCTCTGCCACTTACTTAACCCACGAACCTCAGTTCAGCTGGGGAAGCACAAATTAGCACATCCTCTTTTTTTCAATTTCACTGATTTCATAATTGTGCCCCTTGTTCATCCCAGCAAATGCCAAGCTCTTATATGAACCTTGTTTGTTGGCCAGAATTCTTACAAGTTTCTGTCCTTATCTCAAAAGCTCAAGATAATGTGGACATCAGTGATTGATGTATAGACAATATAAAAATAAGTTCTAATTAGCAGAGAAATGGTTTGTCGTTGAGTGCCAGATTGCTCTCCTCTAGAATTATTTCCCAATTTAAAATCTGACCAACACAGCACCAAAGAGCCCTGTCTCTGTCTTTGCTAACACAGAGGTGTTCTACACCTCCCGTAGCAATGTTTTCATCTTAGAGAACCCACAGACCAAAATGCTAATAATCTAATTGAATAATATCTTTGTGCCAGATACTGGGCTAAGAATTTTCATAACCTTTAACCACTATTATTAGCTACATATTAAAGGTGAGCAGACAGGTTTAGACAAGTTCAAATAATAACCCACAGTTACACAGCCATTAGACTGTATAACTAAGATCAAAATCTAGGCTGCTGGATCTCTGGAGACTGTTTTCAACCACTTTGTTAGACCCCTTGCTTGTGTCATTTTTAAGTCACATTTATTTGATTACTAAGGAGGTTGCACATCCATTGGTCAAGAATACTGTCTCCCTAACCCCTTAAAGGAGAGACAGTATAACATAGCAATGGAAAGAATAGGATTTACCATCAGACTTCCTGTATTCAAATCTGACATCACCACTTTCTAACCATGACCACTAATGAATTGCTTTCTGAAGTGAGAATAATAATATGCCACCTCCTAAGGTTGTGGTGAAGAGTAATGTGACAGGTAATAATATATCAAATGATTAGCTGAGTATCTGGTATATCAGCTAAAAATACAAAAGTACTCAAATGACACCTTGTTTTGTTGTTGTTAGGAAAGATACTAAATTAAGAGGCTAAGAGTCAGGTCCTCAATGAAAACAACTTTCAGGGGGACCAAGAAATAAAACAAAGATTTTTAAAAAGCTTCCTGCATATTATGTGCCTATTGTTTTATATACAAGCCTTAAAAACACTAAGTTAACTATTATCGCTTAATTGTACCTATTAGTCCTGAGATTGGGCCAAAAACACAATGATTCATTGATTTATTTAGTGTTAATTAATAACAAACCCTCTGCTAGACATTGTGTAGTCAAAACTGAGATTCAGCTGCAGTGTCATTAAACTATAATCTAGACAGGTATCAAAATCCCTGATATGTCTCAGTAGATAATAGTGAAGGAATGAATATCCCTTGTCTATAACATAAAGTAGTCATGGTATATCTATGTCTACTTGTTATATCTACATGTTACAGTCTAAAACTGCAACATATGAGACAAGTAGTCTAATAGTATGCCATAGTTTTGTATAATCCCTTAGAAAGTTTGTGTGAGTGCCCTCAGATTTCTTTCAGAGATTCACAAAATTGTATATTTTTCTTGTTCCTCAGGGCTCATCAACATACCTGCAGTAGCCCTTGGAATATTCTCTGGGGGAATAGTTATGAAAAAATTCAGAATCGGTATCTTTGGAGCTGCGAAAATCTACTTGGGATCATCTGCTCTTGGGTACCTCCTGCTCCTTTCCCTGTTTGCACTGGGCTGTGAAAATTCTGACGTGGCAGGACTAACTGTCTCCTACCAAGGGTATGTTCTCTCATTGAATAATCAGAAGAGATGGGCTTGCTTAATCAAATTAATTTCTCATAGAATTTCAAAATAAGATAAGTTGACTTTTAAGCATTATCACTATGGGAAGGGTATGACTTTTCTATTGTGGAATAGCTAGTGGTATTTACAACATGGAAGCTGTTATATTCACCCAATCTGTCATCTCCTTTGGATTTTAATGTATTAGAGAAATATTTTAAAAAATGCTAAACATACATTTTATTTTAGGGCAACAACCTGATAGTGGAAAATTCAAACTTGAATCTTGCCCCTTCCCATTCTTAGTGAAGAGGAATTGTGGGGGTTATTTAATATAATCTAGCTTCGATTTTCCCATTTAAAAATAGAAATCATAACTGCCCCTTAAGGTTTTGCAAGACTTAAGCAAGTTAGCAGGTGTAAAAGTGCTCCCTGCTGCCTGGTGCAGAACACACTTGGCATTCATGGAAACAACTGTGTTTTTTCCTTTGGACACCTGAGTAGCTGGAAATGTCTCTCTGCCACCATTTATAGACTTCATTGTACTCAATCAGGTGCAGTTTTAGGGGAGAATTCTATTCCTCAACCCAGCGGCCCACATGACATCTCTCTTTCATTCTTCACAGTTTGCCAAGAGAATATTTCTCAACACTCTCAGACCTGTGCCATTCCTTATAGGTGGGTGGTGAGGTTTCTAGGTTTCCAGAGTCTATCACCTTTTTTTTTAAATTAAAGCATAGATGGCATACAATATTATGTATTTTCAGGTATAAAAAATAGGAATTTGACATTTGTATACCTTATAACTTGATCACCATGAAAATCTGGTAACCACCTGTCACTCTATAAAGTTATTATATTATTGACTATATTTTCTGTGCTTATCACCTCTCTGTGACTTACTTATTTTAAAACTTGAAATTTGTGCCTTTTACTCCCCTTCACCTTTTCCCACTCATTTCTCTACTTCCTTCTCTTCTGGAAACCATCAATTTGTTCCTCTGAATCCATGACTCTATTTCTGTTTTGTTTAGTTTGTTCATTTGTTATCTCTATTTTAGATTCCACATACAAGTAAAATTGTGAAGTATTCGTCCTTCTCTGTCTGACTCATTTTAATTAGCATAATACCCTCTAGGTCCATCCATGTTGCCACACATGGCAAGATTTCATTCTTCTTTTATTGCTGAGTTTATAGACACACACGTATGTGCACACATCACATTTCTTTATTCACTCATCTATCAGTGGATACCTATGGTGCTTCCAAATCTTTGCTACTGTAGATAATATTGTCATATACATAGGGGTGTTTTATGTCTTTGCCAATATGCATTTTTATTTTCTTTAGATAAATACCCAGAAGTAAAATCTATCACTTTTAATATCAGGCTGGATCTTGAAGAAATTGTTTTGCCCTTTCCCTTCAAGGGTCCTTGTGATCCCTCTGTCTGTGACAATGAGTAACCAGAGACCTCTCTCTTTATTCATCCACCTAACACTACATTATTGGTTTAAAAAAATTATGGTTTTAAAAAACCACTTCTGTACTTCAGCCTCACCTCCCGGACTGCATCTGCCTGCCTGACCGAAAGCACCTATGGCTCAAAGGTCAATGCTCCGGACATTACATTCTGTCTCCTGCCTGTTCAGCTGCTTCTTACTGCTTGCTTTCCAGCTCCCTTCCTCAGCTTTCTTCCAAGCTTATTTGTCTTGCCTTCATATTCCAATCTCCATCACTTTTATTAAGTTGGTTTCTCCTGTTGTTAAGAGAACTTCGATTATACTCTTGTTTAAAATGTCCAGGAAAATTAATAAATGCAAAGTTCAAATACCATGCTTCTGGAAGTTGTCACCATCATGTCAGACTTACCTGAGTTCGTAAGTCTGACATTGGTAACAGTCAGCGATGTAAATTGAGAATGGAAGTTATAAGCAGGAGCTGCAAGAAGGTTCTGGAGAGTATAGAAGCCTTGTGCTATCTTTAACTGTCCCTATAATCCTCATGCTAGATGGACGGTGGTAAAGTACTTTGTATTTCACAATTTACAAGACATCTTCATCATCATTATCTCCTTTGTAGCCTCAGAGTACCTTTATGAGATAAATTTTATTATCCTTGTTTAATGGAAATTGAGTTAAGAAAGATCAGTTAGCTCCCTCGAAGTATAATATTCTTTCGACATCATCATTCTATCTCTAAGACAAAAGCAAACACATAAACGGACAGCAAAAATCTTTTGAAGTTCATGTTAGAAGTATACTCACATAATAAAACATAAATATTTTTAAATCAATAAAAGATAATATGTTTATTGCATGAGTACTAGGCCTTGAAAGTACCTTAGAAGACTATTACTGCATTGTAATAATGCTATCATTTAAAACATTATAAGACTCCTCTTTTGCTTTCTAAAATATTCTCAACAATGGCAAAGAGTTAACCTTTAAGAGTAACTTTGCTATTAGAAGCAGCCAAAATAAAATTAAATTAAATTAAAAATAAATAAATAAATGGCAACATCACTGGGAAAGTTCCCTCTCTTCCAGCTTGAATCTTTTTAAAGAAAAATTTCATTCGGGTATAAACATTCTGGCATATTTGATGAAGCTCATCCTATAATTAAAATTTTAAACAACTTCACTGTCAACACACCCTTCATTAAACATGTATGCAACTAGTTTCTGCTTCCAGATTACCCTAGGTGATAAATTCAACTTACCTTCATTAATATGAAATAATTGGCTCTATAAAATACTTGCTCTCCGGAGATTATCCTGAGTTGCTTTGTGCCCCAAGGCTGTTTTGATTCAGGACATTCAAATAGCATTCTGGACAACACTGTACAGAAGCTTTACATAGGGCAGTGGAAGAAACCTTTCTTCTGCAATAATGAGAGTAAGTCCGATGTGGTTATAATTTGTCACTAATAAACATGAATTTGAGCAAATTACCTGCCCACTGTAGACCTGCCTTTCTTGATCTGCCAATTAAGAAGTTGTTCCAGATGATACCAATTCTTTTCAGCTCCAACCTTCTGTGATCACAGCCCTATAGTATTCACAGTGGCCTGATTCCAGGTCTCAAAGGCACATATTTGTACTTTCAGATACCACCAAACAGTTAATCATTAATGCCTAATGGGAGAAAATAGAATGCAGTAGTCCTATATGACTTCTCAGGACACCTGGTTAAATACCTTTTCATTTTGTTTGCAGACATCTCAGAGGTCTTTTCTTTTTACGTTTGAGGTCCAAATGCATAGCAGTTCTACTAAATAGAATTTTACATCGGTAATGAAATTATGATTATCATTATTGTAGGAAACAATCTGATGACTCTCACAGGGAGGCATCAAAATGACTGATCTTTTCTCCAAAAGGGCTCCATTTTTCTTTGATTGATTAACCTAGCAGAAATCTTGCTTCTGAGCCTACCACGTACCAGGAATTGGTTTTGGTGCTGGGGATACACAAGTGAATAAAACAAATAGTCTCTGCCTTCACTCAAAGTGCACGAAAGTATGTGTTTTTTTTTAAGTGCCTCACTTTTTTCATAACAAATAAAGGAGAGGGGAGAATAAGTAAATAAATAAATTCAAAGTGAAAAAGGAAAAAATGAATTATTAAAGGCCAATAAATGGCAATGAAGGAGCAGATAAAGAGGCGTGCCATTGTATAACTACATCCTTAGAAGAATAAAGGGATACAAATAGTGCAAGAAGAATGAGCATAGAGATATTAGGTAACTCAGGTGAGAAGGAGAAATAGAAGTGAGGGAGAAGGTACACTGGGAGAGGTGAAGGAGGACAATACAGAGAACGAGAGAGAACAAGAGAGAAGACCATCAAAAGTAGGTCATGTTAACCATTTTTAAGAAGCCAGCTTTTTGAGGGCAGATATTTTCTCATTCGTATTTGTAACTATCTTCTCCCAAAGCAACTGCTTAGAAGGTTTTTGATATTTTTATGAATAAATGAATGCCAAGTCATTTTAAAAAGCATATGAAACAAAGTCAAAAGATATGAAAGAGCACCACACAGAGGGAGGATACCTGGGCCAGAGAAAAGTTGGACAAACTGGTAATGTATTTATTAGGCAGACTTACGCTGATAGGTTACATAGTCCTACAAATATAACAAATTTGTTGATATTTTGACTTTGGCTGGGTTTTTTTTGTTCACCATACCATTAGCAATGCCAATTTTACTGATGTTTATGCAACTCTGAAGGAAATTTACACTCAATCCACCGACAGTGCATTCAAGTATGAGAGGGGACCCCGAAAGACCCAGAATTATCTTCTGGAGGCCGGGCCCCTGGTAGTAAAGCCTTCCCAGACTAGGTGAGTGTTCTAGGAGCCCATCTGTATCAGTGGACCAGCTGCCATTATTGTGAGAGGCATCATTCAGCTTCAGTGGATCTTTTCAATGTGTTTGCCCATCATAAAATGGGTGATTCTTAAAATCACCCATCATAAAACAGTGCAGTGTTCAGCCTTGCAGAGCTCAACAGTTTTTAATCAAAAAACAACATGACTCTCATCCCCCACCATCCCTATTCATATGATCTCACCCCAAGTAACTTTTTTCCCATTTCCCTGGATGAAAAAATCCTCAAAGGAAAATGTTTTGCCAGTGTGGAAGAGGTAAAACAAAAAAACAGCAGAAGCACTAAAAGGCATCAGAACCAACGAGTTCAGAAACTGTTTTCAGCAGTAGAAAAATGTCTTGATAGGTGTGGTATATCAAATGGAGAGTACTTTGAAAGTGACTAAGGTTTAAGCATGCAAGAATAAATACACAATTTTTATAAATTAATTCCTTTTGGGCGGTCACCCCTGGTAATGTCATAAATTGCTCTAAAAGTTTATTTTTCTGCCTTGTTAGCCATTTTCATACATCTTTAGAGAGAAATATGTTAGAAGGTTCTAGAAATGATAGATATTAATAAAAGCCATAAGCCAAGAACTATATATTATGTGAAGTTAAAAACATCTATAGATAACTTTCAAGAAAAAGCTATTAGTCATGGACGAACTCCCATTTAATGATCAGAAGCTGATGTTTCTGATGACAATCGTGTTTCCAAAAGGCAAGTTTTGTTGGCAGTGCCATTTATATCCTTCCAGAACATTGCTTTTTAAAAATATGAGGGTGCTGCCTGCTAAGAGGTAATATGTTATACTATTACATTTCTTTTCAGAACCAAACCTGTCTCTTATCATGAACGAGCTCTCTTTTCAGATTGCAACTCAAGATGCAAATGTTCAGAGACAAACTGGGAACCCATGTGTGGTGAAAATGGAATCACATATGCCTCGGCTTGTCTTGCTGGTTGTCAAACCTCCACCAGGAGTGGAAAAACTACAGTAAGAAATCTTCTTTGAAGTGTGTGCCAACAGGCCTGCTACAACAGATAACTCTACAGCTCCATGGGGGGGCTCTGGGGCCCACGGAAGCAGACTGTACTCATAGGAACACTGGCTTTTACTCTGCATTTGTTTTTTGTGTGGAGACAGCCAACATAGAGAAACTGGAGTTGTGGCAAGAATTAGGCTAAGATTTAGAATCATGGAATGGAGTGGAGGAGTTCTGTAGCTCCTCTCATTTTGTCTAATTCTCTCATTTTGCTTTTAAGGAATATTAACCTTGTATGAGAAAGCATAAATCATAAGATTGTACAATAAGATCTGTATTGGCATCCGTATCTGCTGACCCCAAGACCAGTGATTTCAGGGACAGGACCAGTCAGAGGTCAGTGTTAGGAAGTCGAGCCCTAGAGGTCGAGACCCAGGGGGTCAGGAGTCAGGTTTTGAGAATGTTGATGGATCTGGGACAGCTCTTCCTGAGAAATCAAGCAATTTCTGTAATAACGAGTCGGTGGCTGGAATGAAGGGTTTTGTAGGGTGGAAAAGGATGATGAGCTTGGAAATACAGATAGAAAACCAGTTGTGAAGGACATAATTACTCACAGACTCACCCCTCTGATCACACCTCTGCATTCCTGTCTCACACATGGACTTCCTCGTATTCACTGTGGGTACCCAGCAATGGTCAGACAGCTCTGTGCTGTGGCTGGTGAGGTCTGCCTGTATTCGACAGTCCTCGAGGGTTGAAGGTTAAACACATATGTATTTACACATGCTTATCAATGATACAAGAATGCTTAGGCAAACACTTCTGCTAACACAGAGTCACACTTGTTGATTTTTTCTCTGTTTACTGTTATCTTGACATTTTATTCAGAACAGAAGAGTTTGGTGGCTAATGATTGGAAGGCTACCCATCCATCTGAAATATGACTTTTCACCATCCCTCCCTTTTCACCCTTCTTTCCTTTCTCTCTATTTTCCTTTTGGCCACTACTCTTTTGCTCAAACTGCTTGAGCAAAAGTAGTTTCTTGAACAAACTTCGTTTACTGAAGACATTGTATGCCAGGGACTAAGAGAAGTGTTTTTAAAACAAAATTGCATTCCTGGAGTAAATGGGTATTATTTTGTTTGTTTTCCTCATGTGAGAACTGAGGCACTAAAATACAAGGGACTTCTAGAAATCACATATCTAGAGAGAGACAATCAACACTCAAACAATTTTTACCTAACATTAAAAAAGAAATCTATGTTGCTACTCTTTCTTGAAAAGTAAATACCACTTTTATTTCATTATCTAAAAATTTACTGTGATTTACAAGCTTTTCTGTGATAAAAATAACAACTTACTATATATACATACATACATCAAATTTACAGAAATAAACTGATGAGAAATTATAAAGTTGCCTCTCTTTCCAAGATTTAGTTGAGCTTCATTCACCAGGGTTTTTCTCCTAGTAACAACTATAAATTCTGCCATATCCTCAAATTTTTTATTTATTTAGCATCTTTATTGAGTGCCTGAAATGAGAGCCCACTTTAGGCTCTGGGTGTGCAGTGATGAGAAAGCAGACAGTTTCTTCCATGGATTACATTCTAGTGGGGACATATGTTCAACATAAATGATTATATGATACTCCAGTAGGTAGTAATAAGCCCTGTGAGAAAAGGGGGGTTAGGATGGTAAGGGTGGCGGGGGGTATTATTTTGAATGATGGGCCATGGAAGCTCTCTTTGATGAAATATCAGGGCAGGGACTTGAGTGCATGAGCCAGCCATGTAGCCATCTGGAAGAGCTGCCCAGCAGAGATGACAGCAAGGCCATGGAGCAAGGGGGCTTGTTCAAGGGTTGACAAGGGCATGGTGGGAGCTCATGAATGTGGCTGAAGCAGGAGGAGAGGAGAAAAATCACTGAGCAATTAGTTATGGGCAGGATCTATGGGCTACATCATAGCTAGTGCATAAGCCACTTTAAGGATTTGGGATTTTATACAAGTGTTATAAGAAACCCAGAGACACAGACAGACAACTGTGTAGTGGTTACCAAAGGGAAGAGGTTTGGTGGGGTGGTAGAAGATAAAGGGGACCAAGTTACATGGTGATGGAGGCAGTTAAACCTTGGGTGGTGGGCTCACAATGCTACATACAGATTGTGTATCATGATAATGTACACTGGAAACCTGTGTGACCCTATTTACCAATGTCACCCAATAAATTTAATAATAAATAAGCCATTGGAAGGTCAAGAACAGTAATGTAATTTGACTGCCATTTGTAAAGGCTCACTTTGGTTACTGTGTGGAAAACACAATAGCTGAATGAGTGGAAATAAGTTGAGCTTAAAGAGACCACTGTGATAATCAAGGTGAGAATTATGGTGGTGTAGACTTGGAAGTGGCAGAGAAGGAAACAAGGTACAGTTGGATTTGGTTGAATTTGCTGGGAGATTATTCTGTGGGATCAGTAGTTTGTAGACCAACTATCAGTTGTTTGGATAATAAAATGTTACCTCTAGAAATTTTGCCTTTTTAATATATTCTAACAGAAAAATATAGAAGAATATTTTTATTGTTTATACAATGCATGTATATCATACTATGAAGTCTTTTAAAATACATATTTATCTTTTTAATTTTATTAAAATTTTACTTCAGTAATTGTACTTTTCCCTGTCTTGTTACAGATATTTCATAACTGCACCTGTGTGGGAATTGCAGCCTCAATGTCAGGAAATTTCTCAGGCATGGTGGGCAGATGCCAAAAAGATAATGAGTGTCCCAAAATGTTTTTGTATTTCCTTGTAGTATCAGTCATCACATCCTATACTTTATCTTTGGGTGGCATACCTGGATACATACTGCTTCTGAGGTGAACACTGATTCTTCCGCCCCAATTTTAATATCAGACATGCCATAATCATCTACAGCAGTGGAATTATCACGATTCCTCATAGCCCTCTCAGGAAACTTGTCCAGCATCCTCTTTATACTTTGATACTTAGGTTTTTATAACAAACATGAGGTTGAATAGAAGTTTTCCTAGTTAAAAATGTTTGCAAACCATTGATCTGGAAAGAATGTTAGTGCCTACATCACCATTACCACTCAAAAAACATGGTGTGCTATTACTAATGTTGGTGGTGTTAACTACTAGAATAGACTAAATGTGTTTTAGATTAAACATGATTTCACTGAATGATGAATAATAGAGTTTATAAGATTCTTGAAATGGTCATCTAATGCTACAGTGTTATGTGCTTTTTACTTTTTTAATATATTCTTGCTCTTCTTACTGGAATTATCTGCATGTGCGCGCACACATGCATGAACACTGGGAGGGGCACTTTAAGGGCTTTTGGATCAATTGAGGATCCTAATCTATGAACGTGGTGCCAATGATGCCAAACATTTTTGCTTATAAAAACTCTAAAAGAATTGTTGATATTGTGTACCTCTGTGCATATTTGAGTGGGCATCTAAAAAATTTCTTATCATAAGTTTAAATAGTAACTAAGCATTGATTTCCAGTATATTGTAAATATTTTCATTTAAAAATATAATTATTTTAAATATAGGTCACTCTTTTAAATGTAACCAATGAGATCTAAAGAACAGTGATTAAATAACCAATATCACCTAATTTAAAATCCCATGAAAATCTTTAATAGTCAAAATGTTGCATATTTCTTTCTTCTCCTTAAAATTATATCTTCACTCAACTTCCCTATAGACTTTCCTTTTGTTGTAATATAATTTAATTGGAACACTTGTTATTAGCTCGTCTTTCATAGATCTCTATATTAATGTACATAAATTAAAATTTTTCAATTTTTTATAGGCTGTATTCTGCATAATTTTTTCTGATTGAATTAGCCTTTCAAATCTTACTCTTATACAGTTAATCAGAGTAACCTAAAAAGGTTACAAATGTTTATATATTTACTACAAAAAATCAAATTTTATCAGAAACTAATTTTTATGAGATGAATTAGGTGACTTTTAAATTAATTCATATAGCTAAAAATGAATATTAAGTGTTTAAAAAATGAGAGTAATAAAAAGTACTGTATACATATTTAATTTCCCACAGTTTATACTATGGAAATTGATTAAGAAAGACAAACAGAACACAGGACCTGCTATCCACAAATCTGATTTTTAGAAAAGGGTTTAAGGACATCACGAGATGTTTTCAAATGGGAGCATGGGTTTGAAAAGATGGGAAATCATTGTCCCAGAGTTCTCAGGCCAGGATCGCTCTTTTGGCATGGCTGTTTTGTCATGATCTTTTTTTCCTGTGCCAAGTAGTTAATGGGCCAAGTGAATAATCAGGCTACTGGAGGAAGAGTTTTCCTCACCACCAGTTCCTCAAAGGAGCCAAGAAGGAGCTGAATGTCTTTGGATTAAAGGAGAAAAGTTGTGTTTCTTGCCTCTTTTAAAGCAGAGACTAAATGAAATTATACATATAAGTGGAATTTAGCATCATGGTTAACACTCAATAGTATATATTATGTCATCATTTTTCTTACTATTAAAATGACAGTCCAATCAGCAACAGCTATTCAGTCATACTAGGATGCTCTTATTATTTTAGGTCCTCTTGACCTCGGCTGGAAAATTCAAATTCCCACTGTTTAGCAAAAATACTTACCATGCCACAGTAACTGTGATTGTGTCCATCCAGATCAGTATGGTCCTGTGCTTTCAGACCAGAACCACGAAAACTAGTTAAAGGTTATTAATTTTTTATTGTTGCCTCAAATTCTTGCAATCTTAGAAGATTGCATTTTTTTCTGTCTTTATTGTTTGGCTGATTATAGAGCTGATTTACCTTATAGTAATATTAACTATAAATTCCTTGATGTAGTGCCTTCAATTTTGCATAATTTGCCTTCCTTATGCTAGGACACTAGTGGGGTCTCCATAAATGCTACTTGAATTCTAACATCACTCCGTGTGTGTCAAGTAGATTATCACTAATGTTACTATTCATTTGAATGGAAAATATATAAAGTTGTAATAGTGCTTTTATTGTTTTCAGGTGCATTAAGCCACAACTTAAGTCTTTTGCCCTGGGTATCTACACTTTGGCAATAAGAGTTCTTGGTAAGTATAATGTATGTTTTAAGTATGGTAGCCATCACAGGGGTATTTGGAATATTTTTCTAAATATTTTTATAGAATTAGCATGCATGACTAAATGATGTAAGTGGTTAAGACCCTATTCTTTTTAGGTCCTTTCTTTCTTTATTTCTTCCTTTCCTCCTTCCTTCCCTTCACTTTTCTCCTCCTTTGTTTCAGAAATATATCTATTGAGAGCCAGTGCTGGGCCCATGTTATAATAAGATGAATTTCTGAGAGTAATGATACTTTTTTGCTTTACAAAATTGTCTCTTCCCACATTGGTCTATTTTCAAAAAATCCACTGCTATTATAGGAGAACCTTCTGAGAGAGGGGCAAAAACATGAATTAGTAAGAAAGCCTAAAGCCTATATATAATTTTTTCAGTTATTAAAATGGAAGGCATGCTTTTGAACTACTCTCAATGCTATAATATATCATTTTGGTGGAAAGGTCTGATCATTCAGTCAAAGCAGTATGGCTGTGATTGGATGGTGTTTTAAATGTAATTGGAATTGTACCAGATTTATCAATATACATTAATTAAAATCCATAGAAAATAGTGTGAATGAGTCAGATAAGTTTTCTGCTCTTACTAAGTTTATATTCTAAAGAACGAAGTGAAACAATCATAAAAAGTTTCTTGGTAATTTAACAAAAAAAGAATTACCAGGAAGGAAAACAAACTCAGACATTTAAAAATCTAAAACAAATTTGGTTTACAAAGATCTGAATATAAAATAGGCATAGCATATGAAGCTACAATATAATCCTGATAATATTGGAGGGACAATCCCCTCCCCTTTCACTGCTGATACCCACAAGTCTGATCTCTTTTTCCGAGACCTTGAGTATTTCTTTGTTCTTTGTTGTTGTTTTTGTCTTTCTCTGTCTGACCTGACTTAATATCTCTTAGCATGAGTATGTATTCCTGATGGAGTTATAAAATGCATTGAATGGCATAGCTGCATGCTTGGAAATGTCATCAGTTAGAGATGCACACTGAAACACAGAGAAGGGAACTGACATGATGTGTGAGATTTCAAAACCAAGTTTCAGGGATTAGGGGAGCTGGGGGTCTGGAAATAGATGACACAGGCATGACAAAATATTGACCCTTGTTGAAGTTAGTAACGGCACATGAAGTTTCATTATATTATCCTCTCTGATTTTGTGCATGTTTGAAAATTTGTCATTATGAAAATTTTAACACGCATACAGAAATTTGCAAGCATTTGAATTATTTTTGGCCCTTCACAAGAGCAATGGAAGTTAGATATCACCTAAATGTTTTTAGGTGGCAAATAACCCATTAAATTGAACCATATATAAAGAAAGAAATTTTACTTAGGACACCAAATAATCCAAATTGACTCTTAGATTTATTTAACTAATTGCTTTCTTGGTTCATGGGACTTTATGCGTACTAGAACCAGCTAGCTCTTTCTTGAATCCAGAGTCCTTATCTTCTTAGTATATAGAGAGAAACCCTTGCAAATTATTTCCTTATGTAAATTTCCCTTAAAAAAAGAAACATGCCCTCTTTCTTCAGAGCGTCTCTTGTCATCTGTTGGAGTGGCATGTTCTGCAGATGCCCTGGTATCTCCAAAGCAGCCATTTTTGGACTGAAATTAAGTAGTTCCAGATAACCATTCATTTGAAGATAACCAAAAAGATGTATATATATGTATATATTTTAGCAGCAATTATTTGTTTTTCTCACAGCAGGCATCCCAGCTCCTGTATATTTTGGAGTTTTGATTGACACTTCATGCCTCAAATGGGGATTTCAAAGATGTGGAAGCAGAGGATCCTGCAGATTATATGACTCGAATGCTTTTAGGTACCATATCAATCCCACTCCCACAGCTCACTGCCCTCCTCTCTCAGGCTGTCACAGTGCAACTGGCACTGAAAATTCCTCATGTAGTTTCACTGCACATTCTGTTTTATAGGATAAAACCTGTTATCATTTAATTATTTGGCTATACCTTTAAATTTTCCCCATTCCTAATCTTAACTTGCTTTTCTAATAAATAATCACTTTTTTAAAAAAATGACAAAACTCCAGAATAGTGCAGAATTCTGAAAATTTATGCACACAAATGAGTAATTCCCTGAACTCAGAAGCATTTAAATTTAGGTCACATTTTGGGCTTATTTCTATTCTTTTTCAAACTGAGCCAAACTGTCCCATTTGCGTCAGCTGTAATCCCCCTGGGCAGGAGTTGAGTTGGCCCTAAATTTATCCGGCTTTTATTGCCAAACTGATGTTCAATTATTCCAGTACTTGAAATGCATAAAAGTAAAAGGTTTTCTCTGTGAGTGTGAGTGTGTATAGGGCTGAGGGACATGGCTTTTTCACTATGGCATCATTCACTCCAATTCATCAGACATTTAGTCCCCTTATTGCTTAAAGCAGTGCTTCAATGGCTTGAAAGCAAGTGGGAGTTTTTTAGATTTTCAATCTGAGCATTTTCTGGAGAAGTAAACCTGGTGCTGAGCCATATAAGTTGAAAGTGGGATGTGAAGTGAGCCAACCATCTCAAATAAGTTTGTTTGATTTAATAGGCTTTGATGTAAAGTGAGAAATTTACTTTGGTCTTTGAAAGGGACCCGATTTGTGAGGAGAATTCAGCTTTGCTCACATGTGCTAAGGCACTATTCACTTTAATGTAAAGATGGCGTAACTCAATCAGAGAATGTGCGTCCATGTACAGGCGACCAGAATGAGTCATTCAACCTGTCCTTCCATTGCCTTCAGTCATGTCTTAGGACAGAATGCAGAACTAAAGGCTTCTCATGGAAGAAACTAATTTAAACCTCTGGTTTGTTCTTAAGTCATTCTGTTCTACTGAGACCTCCGATTCCCCCTTAACATTGCTTCTTGCAATTTTATTGTAAAATTGAATTTGGGCCAGGTTCAAAGGTAACTACAGAATTTATTATTCTAACCTAGAAACGTTTGAAAGTGAAAGGGGCACTATAAAGAATTATCCTGGGACAACACTAGCATATACTGGCACTGTTTTTGGCAAAACGGGACATGGTCACTTGAACAAGGGAATAGTTTACAGAGAGGGCAGAATTGATTATGTACTTAGTAGTAACTGAACATGATGACGCTACTAAAAAATTACTTGATGTAAGCACAATGTTCAGAGGAAGGCCTTTTATAGCCACCGAATCTGCACCCTTGAAGAAACCATCCTCATCACAGTTTTTTTTTTTAATTTGATGGATTGCATCGGTTTTGATATTTACCAAATGGTACTGTTACTTTTCTTTCACATTTTATTTAAAGTCTCATAGTTACAATAATTAAGACTGAGATTCTCTCTTCTTCTAGACACATATATCTGGGACTAACTATGCTGCTGGGAGTAATGTCCATTTTCTTAAGTATTGCCGTACTTTACACTTTAAAGAAAAATTATGTTTCAAAGCATAGAAGCCTCAGAACTAAGAGAGAGAGAACAATGACATCTACGAGAATCAGGAAGGAGAGTTGTGCTACGAGTGACCTCTTACTGCAACCCAGCTGCTGGCCAGCCAAGGAGACGCAGCTTTAGAAAAGTGATGTCTTGTGCCATCTTTTCCATTTTCTGGAAATTCTGCAAACCAATTAGAATCAATGTGTACATTCTGTATCCTTTTGAAAAAATGTCTACTTTGTTTTTGATACTAGGTATTAGATAATGCACCTCATAACAAATAGACTTAATCATATTATAGAAAATATAGATAATGAAGGTAAAACTTTAATTTATATGTCAATCTCTTATATTATTTACTCACTCCACTTCATTTACCTTGTGCCCAATGACATATTAGTTATATTCCTAGTAGAACAATTGTCCCTATAGTCTAATAGCTATATGTAAAATAATTTTTATGCTGAGATACTTATCTAGGAAAAGAGAATACTGTTAAAAAAATGAACCACATCTTGGCCTCTTTCAAACATCACCTTAATGATGTTGTTAGGATAGAACCAGAACACGTAGAGAAAATTTTCATTATAACCTTCTCCTTTCTTTTGAAATACCATCACTGATGTAGAAATGTATAGAGGTAAATGATCTTGGGGGATTTGAATTTTGGATAATTAGCTTTTCTGCCATTCATTACATGTGCTTTATGTGTGACATTTTAAGTGACCATGGTTGTAAAGTAATAAAATTAATACAAATGTGCTTTATTATTCTTCTATGAGTTCAGTGGATTTAAAAATAATGTTAAATACAATACTGTCCACATTACAGTTTATGTAAGCAGCTCCAGACTTGTGCACACAATGTCATTCTAACACACATCTGAAAGTTGAATTTCGAAAAGTGTACCGTAAACTTAGGTGTTATAATAGGAAGGCAGAGCGATGGGTTGAGGGGCCTGCTTCCCGCTGGTGCGCTCCCTGGCTCCTCTCACAGGGCCCCAGGGCTTCTGCGCAGCGGGCTGCTGCTGGCATGGCTGTCAGAGACCTCTCTGTTTCTCTGCAGCTGAAAAAGGCAAGACAGGCATTTCCTCCTCGCTGGCTTTCCAGGGCTTCTCTGCCTAAATATAGTAGGTACAGGAGTCCACCATCTTTAATTTTCAGCTTCATTAGACACTATGTTTTTTTTCCTCCATCACAGCTGCACAAGAGGGACCTGCTAGCCCTCCCAAGAAAAGCAGACTTAAGATGGAGTTCACCCCAGTGGAGTCTTGAAATTGTACAGTTCTAAGCAGCCTTTAGAACAAACAGAACAATCAACAGGGTACTTCCAACAAAGAGTCTTTTCCAGGTGTGTCATGGAACCAAATCCAACAGGATTGCCCAGCTCAAAAACATAGTACCACACAGAGGAGGACTCAAAAAAAATGCAAATGACATGGTGTGCAGTCTTCTACTTATTTGTTTCTTTATATACCAGTCCTGTGAATGTGAATGGAAAAGCTGGAGATGAAAAGTTTGGGGATGGAGAGTGGAAAAATTTCCTTGAAATACATATTAATTTTGTCATTTTATTTTAATTAGCAATGCAAGGATTTTTTTATATTTTACTACTTTTTAAAATTGAAAATAGGTTGATGTTTTGTGTCCAGCAGGCCCACTTCAGACCTGTGGCTGCCCTAATAATTTGTAAGCAGGAATCTTTTTTGTCATCTGAGTATCAATCTTACCCATGACAAATATTTACTGAATGGGTAAGTGAGTACACTTGTCAAGAGTCTTCTTTGTAGAGGTATAATTAAAATTCAGGTTCCTCATCCTGTCTCCCACATCCTCTGTTTTTCAAAGCGTTTTGTAGCAATACCCTGAAAAATAACTACTTTGCAAGTAAACTTTAAAACAGAATCCTATCCAATGTACTCTTGAATAACTTAAAAAATAAAAATTGGCATAAGGGAGGATTTTTTTCATAAAAGCACTGAATGTCAGTGAAAAGAAGGCATGTTTATGCATAACCGTTAATTCAACCGTGGAATTATATATGCTAAACTCAGCTGTACGGCATAGGAGGGCATCATTTCCTGGGGAATCGAATGTACTAAAAGGAACCTTGATTTTAGAGAAGTGAATTCATCTGACAGAAGCAAGCAGGCTTATTACTCCTCAGAAAGAACATGACTTTTTAAAAACCAAACCCCATTTCCGAGGTCAAAAATATCCCCTCAGCGCCAGAGTCAAACATTAGAGGTAAGGCCTTGACTGATGTGTGGGATCCCACAATTGCTCTGCATTCAATGGGCCACTTTATTTTCTTATTCTAGAGCCATAGCCCCTAGAGTTGAGTAGCACCTCAAATGAGCATCTGATTCACTTTAACCTACAGAAAAATAATGCTCTAACAATATCATCTTATAAATGGAATAATTTAGATTGGGTTAAATGATTTGCTGAAGGTGGAGGCAGGCAGATTCATGCTGGTTTCTTCCATCACATCACTGTGCCTCTAAAGTAGGTAATAAAAACAAATCATCTAAAACCTCTAAAAACAGCTGGAAGAACATTTGTGACCATCAGCATTTAAGAAATCTCCACTCGAATGTTATATATTTATATACTCATCTATAAAAAGAGAGTGAAAGAATAAATTGACTATAATGCATTCTTGGGAATAATAATTATTTTTATAACTTTTATAGCAACTATTAAATGTAACAATATTCAGCATTTTCTTTATGTGTGCTGAGGGCTTTAGGCACATTATCTCAATTTCAAAGATCAAAAGAACCTGATGTATTAGGTATAATTACTGATATTTCCAGAGGGAGAAACTGAGGCTTAGAGAGGTTTAGTGACTAGTCTGAAGTCAGCAAGTTCTATTCTAACAGTTGCATTATGCCTATCTTAATCTATATCCAAATTTGCTGTCTTCCTTTAACTTTCCTAAATGTTCATTTCGTATATCTACATTAGGAAAGTTTCAGCATAGTAAAGCATGTCCAAGTTTTTTAAAAAATCAAATGGTATAAAATGATTTAAAATAAGAAGTAACAGTCTTTCACCCCAGTTTCACTCTGTTCCTCAAGTGCAATTACTTCTAACCAGTTTGGTTTGTTGGATTTTCTGATGGTTACTTCCATATCTTTAAATATTATGCACATTACATTTTCTTGAATTATTAATGTGAGGCACTGTGTATTGACTCTCTACTCCAAGAGTGTCGAGTTCATTTTCACTGGGGGCTATATCAGCCTTGTGATTGCCTTCAAAGAGCCGAAATAATTTTAGGACTGTATGAATATAACTTTACATTCAGTCCTTTGAAGGCAACTACAAGGCTGATGTGGCTATCACTGAAAATGAGTTTGACACCCCTACTCTACTCTGATAGATAAGAACTAATGTCATTATTCATTCCCGGTTGGTCTTCCCCTGTTATCTGTGCATACTGAGATCACTAGTATGAGTTCCTCAAATGTCACTTCAATACCTCCATTCATTTCTTGTTTAATAAACATGAAAAGTATCATGTGTTACCCTACTTGGCAAAATGAAGTTCTTAAAATTCTCTCCTTTCCCACCAAATGGCCAAACTTTTGTCCATCTTCCTCTTTCTGGTAGCTGTACCTTTACTCTTACATTGTCAAAGAACATCATTTTTAGTCAACTCTCTTAACACTAGATTTAGGGATGTAGGAAAGGCCTGAATGGTTATGATTAAGATCAGCTCCATCTACTGCTGATGCCATAAAATTTACCATTAGAAAAAAGAATGAATATTGAATGTAAACTATAATTGAAAAAATGAGAATAAATACAATAAGTAAAACATAAAGAAGAAAAAATGAAAAAGAGGGGAGATTAACTATGTTAAAGAAGACCTACAATGGCCCTGGCTGGTGTAGCTCAGTGGATTAAGCATGGGCCTGTGAACTTAGGGATCGCGGTTCGATTCCCAATCAGGGTACATGCCTGGGTTGCAGGCCCTTCCCATCAAGGGACACACGAGAGGCAACCATACATTGATGTTTCTCTCCTTCCCTTGTTCCCTTCCCCTCTAAAGATAAATAAATAAAATATTTTTAAAAAAGAAGACCTACAATGAATCAGGCACTAGAGGTACATTAATATATTAAATATTAATAAATGTAATATAAATATTTTATGTTTGAATAATTTTGAGACATGTTGAGTTAGTAATAACTGTCATATGACTTCAAAAATCCCCCAGATTCTTTACTATGATGATATATAATGTCAATCTTTTGAAGGGGATGTGTTAGGTATAACTATAACACTTATTTGGCATTAAATCCACTTTTTTATTAACAAGGGTCTAACTAATTTTCAATACAATATATTTGGAAAACACAACTTTTAACCTCATTTTTAATTATTTTCTATCTTATCAGCTTGTGGTATCAGGATTGTGCAGTTTTATAAAATTAACTGGAAAGCTATTTAGTTTTTAATACTTTGGAAAAGATTTTATAGCATAGGGATTATCTGTTCCTTTTACATTTAAAAGAATGTTTCAGCCTTTCTAAGAACCTCATTAAAAAGTTTTAATTAGTTATTGTCATTGTTTTAAAACATATGTTTACCGATTCAACTTTCAAAATTTAAATATTTTTCTAGAAAAATCTTACAGATTTTTAAATGACACTTTTAATTTTATAAAGCTAGAGCAATTAAGCTTAGGTTTATTATTATACTATTTTCCCATTCCTAATATTGTGTACTTGGATTTGTCTTTTTTATGTATTATAGTCATCAGAAACTTATTTCATTGAAATTTTCAAAGAAGTGATTTTGGATTTCGCTGCTCTGCTACCTGATTGATTACTTTTTGTGTTTTACTTTAACTATTTTCTTCCTTCTGCTTCCCTTCAGCATGCTTTAAAACACATCTGTACCTAAATTCTTGACTTACAGGTTTATAACTCTATGCTCTAGCTTGGTAATGAAAACGATATACCTTCATGGACAGCTTTGTTTATAACCCAAAGGTCTTCCAAGCTGCAGTCCCAGTGATGGTTTCCTGATTGACTACAATGGCATTCTTGATGTTCTATTTTATTCAAAATTCCTATTGCTCAGTAACAATGAGTTAAAATTTCCCTGTGTTTGGGTACTTTACTTTTTAAGCTTATCTTTTAATTTTTAGATTAATCATACTTATAATTAAGATATGTCACCTACTCCATTTATCCTTTTGGAAATTTATTGAGAGTTGAAGACCAGAAACCATAAAGCTCCAAGATATATGATACATATAAATATCATTGGATTTTGTAAACAGACAAGAAAAATGACATAAGATATATCAAATTTTGAAACTTTATGGTTTCATGAACCAATGTCACCCCAATAAATTTAATAAAAAAGGAAGCATCAACTTGGAAAAGGACTCAAAATGATAACCTTTCACAGATACTTCAATCACCTCTGAAGAAACACCTCGAGAATCAGCTGAACAAACTAAACCAAGCACAGACTGTGGTAAAGAAGGCTAGTCACAGTATTAACATGAAACAACTAGCTGTTTAGCTAAGGCTACTACACATAGGATACAGTGAAAGACCCTAAATAACATTTTTAGAAAATAGAATAGAATATTTTAAATTATAGTAACAACACATGACTCTGGAGGACTAGAAGTAAACTTAATAGGAAATATTTGGTATGCATATGTTTTTTTAACACTGTAACATTTTACTGAGAAATGCAAACCATGGTCCTGATAAGAAGACTCAGTATTACAAGATCAGTTTTCAAAGTTGATACATTTTCTTTCATTTTTCTTGTATGTTATAAAACCCAATGATATGTACATGTCACATATCTGTAGTTAGAATTTGCTTATGACATTCTGCTCTTCAAAATCATTCAGCACCTCCCACCATTTTCAGGAAACCTCAGAATCCTTTGGTAAAGTGTGACTTCTCAGGACCTGGTCCTTGACAACCTCCTCCCCTCCATCCTCCACAGCACCCCCAGCTGAGACGCTTCACCTAGGTCCTCCGGCCTACGTGCAGTTGCCTAAAGGTGCTCTTTGTATCTGCTACTGTGTCTGCCTAGAAAACATTTCCCTTAGTTCCTTCTTTCACTTTTTCACCAAGCTCAAGGCTTCTTAAACTTCACTGTGTCTATGAATCACCTGGGAATCTGGTTTGAAAGGCAAATGCGATTCCATATTTTGGAGGTGAGGCCCGAGATTCTGCCCTTCTGATCAGCTCCACAGAGCAGCAGTAGGTACTCTGGGCAAGGACCTCCCCACTACTATGCCCTTTTGACAGTTGAGTTCAGTGCCTCCAGTCAATGTTTGCTGGATCTCACCCTTGCAGTGCCCCTATATACTAGGTGTTGTGCTAGCGGAGACTTTGAGGAAGAGACTGTTTTATCAGTTCATTCTGTCGTGTTCATCACCTCACACATACAAACTCAGTACTGAATAAATGAATGAGCTAATAATGTGTGAAAAATAAACTTCATTTAGGAATTAAGAATAGGATTAATAAAAGCACACCATACGTGGTTCTTCCTGACGTTTCTGTCAGGAAAGAACTTTACTGAATTCACATCAGAAAGAATTTGGCAAGAATAGAATAGAGGAGAAGAGAAGAGAAAATAAATAGGTTAACTGTTCTAAAGATTTTCCCAATCATCAAAAATTGTGAAGATACTAAAAAATGCCACAAATGTCAAAGAACAGTTTTCTACTACCAAAGTAGCTAGGATGTTTAGTGTACCAAATGAGTGACATGTTGTCCAGAAAGACTCAATTTCAATTTAGACATGTATTTCTTTCCTGCAGCACTTTTATATTTTAGTCTGTAAAGCATTTTAGCACATACAGTTTTTCTCTTAACTCTACATAACCTAAAAACCCAATAATAGTTCTTTCTGATTATGAATTAAAAGCCTAAGGTCATAAAAGGATAATGAGTTTACCTCACCTGCTAAAGTCATAGGACCAGGTATTGACAGAGCAGCAGCTTAAACCCAACCTTTCTGATACCAAGTCCAGAGTTCATTCACCTTATCTGATTAAAACTTTTTCAAAGCCCAACTTAGCGGAGATGGTGGTATTTACAGGGTATCATATCCACAAAATGTAGTTTCGATTTTGATGAAATCACATTTTCGCCTCTGTTCTACAATGTTGGCCTTTATTTAAGCAACAAAATTAGTTTGCCTATATTATTGTTTTCTACTTTTTCTTTCCGGCCTAGATTTCAGGCCTGGCTAAAATGATTGACTTGTGGGGAAATAAAGAAAGTTTGGTAGCTCACACCTGGCGAAGAACCCCCAACTGACATTGGGGCTAATGAACACAGCGCACCTACTTCCTAGTAATCAGAGGATCAGCCCAGCAGGAGATCTCTGCAGTGGTTAGCTAACAGATCACAGGAGCAGGTCTCACAGTCCACAGAACAAGTTACTTCCCAGTTATGCTGAGATTGCTGGATGGGTGCCCTGACTCCTGGTCCTGCGATCTCTCTATTGAGACCTGTCATTGGCCGAACCAAGTTGAAAATCAAGACATGTGAATTATAAAGTAGACTCAGCCGGGATATA